ACTACTTTTGTCAGTCAGAGTGGCAGGAATATAAACTTTTGCTTATGCACTTAAGTTGTCTATTAAAAACCTCTCTTCCCCACTTATGTGTGCACCAGCCTGTCCAGAGAGCCACTTCCTGTGCTCCACAGGACTGTGTGTAGAGAAGAGTCGACGCTGTGACGGTCTTGACGACTGCCAGGATGAGAGTGATGAGGTCTTCTGCTGTAAGTTCTCAGAGAAGTTACGCAGTACGGCTGCTTATTTAAAAGAACAAATGACACTGTGAAATATAAGTAAAGCACTACACTGTGCTGAATTATATTTTCCTGATTAAGTAGTGATGCATTGAAAAAAATGTTGCTTATCTTCACAGCAAGGCCAACAAAGAACTGTGGTGGCAACAGTCCCCTGCATCCTTTGTATGTGTGCAACGGAGAGACAGACTGCACCAATGGAATAGATGAGATCAACTGCACTCAGGGTAAGGATTTTTTCAAGTTTACACAAGTGCAATGTATATGCCATTTCACCCATTAATGTCTAATAATTGCAATGTGTTTTTTACTCTTGTCAGAAACAACCTGCTCTGCAATCAGGTATCAGTGCAACAGTGGCTCCTGCATCCTGAAGAAGAACGCAAAGTGTGACAGTGTACATGACTGTCAGGACCACAGTGATGAGGCCGACTGTGGTGAGCGCTCTGCATTACCTGCTCCATATGCACATCCTAAAATCCCAGCGAAAAAATAATAATAATGATGTCACTACAGATCTTTTTTATAATAACACACCCACCCTTTTTCTAGAAATAAATCTTGCAACTTGCGGTGTTAAAAGTGACTCCAATGTCAGCATGTGGTGTGATGCAATGTTACAAAATTGCTTGCTTTTTATAATACACCATATGTGCACTCTGGAAGATTCATTTTTAAAATAAAAACTAGTTCAATGATTTATCAACCTAACCCACATCAGCACAATTGGTTCTGTCCCCCCTGAATAGTTCATTGCTCTTAATGAAGCAATGGATACTTTATGATTATCCTGCCAGATCCTTCATGTGGCTTCATGAGAAAATTGTTGTCATGTCACAATCCACTGGGTAGTGTGCTCCAAACCTGCTGACCTGCAGCGCTGAGGTGACCCAGCTGTAACAGCCTTCTCTGTGAGCTGTTATTTTATCATGATGGGGTCTCAAGGTGATGGGAACACGCTTGTCTTTGATCACTCACTGCACATGCACGCACACATGCACAGGTCAGAGCTCTACTTTTTAATAAGGCAGCAGCGGACCTGTCTGTCATGGTGATGATTAGCGTGCCAGCTTAGAGAACAAACTGTGCACGTAGAATTCCTCAATAGATCTATAAACATGATCATAATCATAGTAATAACATGAATTGCTTTGTCTTGAATTTTAACTACAGTATAACAATATGTAATATTCTGCCTGTGCTCTGTGTTCTGTGCTACGTTACAATAAAACCAGAGCCCAGTATAATAAAACCAGTAACCCCTCACTGTGTGCTCCTCAGCCTGTGGTCGTCCCTCCCTGGTGGGGAAGGTGGGCTCATCTACAGGACCTGAGCGTATCGTGGGCGGCGAAAACTCTGTGGAGGGGGAGTGGCCGTGGCAGGTCAGCCTCCACAATTCTGGTAACCTGTACTGTGGAGCTTCTGTTCTCTCCTCTGATTGGCTCATCTCAGCAGCACACTGCTTCAGCAAGGAAAGGTCAGTCATTCTCACTGCTGATTAACAACATCCTGTTATTGTTATGTGATCACTGTAATGGCTACTGTATGTAAAAACCACTGATTTGATTCACAGAGCAGCAGGCTTACAGGTAATGATAACACAGTGGTACCCATCCTTTTTGACTTGTGTCCTCTTCAAACAATCAGTATCTTCTTGCAAACACCCGTCACATGTTATGCCTTTGAGTGGACATGAGTTGTAAGCATTTCAACCACAGAGTTTTTTCCCCTCTTGTTTAATTTGAATGAGTCTCAGAGGCTTGAAGATGTAAAATTATGCAAGGTTTCACAAGGAAAAAAGCAAAAATGAGAAAAAAGAAAACAGTGTGTGGTGTGACAAATTTGTTTTCTAATTTTTTTAACATCTTGGAGTCCCCAGATTTATCTTGAGACACTTATGGGGTAACCACTGTGTCATGTTATAACTTGGTTTATGCTTGATCATCTCATGAAATGAGTGATAAAATTAAAACACATGACATGACATTACAATAATTTCTTTTTTTTTTATAAAAGTAAAGATTCATATTTTTCCTTATTAAAGGTACACTATGCAGGATTGTAGCTTACTGTTTGCAAACATGCTCACCAGCCAAAGTGAAAGTAAAAGCCAACCCCAGTTTGACTTGCATTTGGCATTTTGCCTTGTTTTATTTGCATTTTTTTCAGCGGTGTGTCTCCTGGAGGCCTGCTGCTTACGATCTGGCATCTGTTCACTTTCCTTGTTATAAATGCCAGACCTCACCTGAGCACTGTAGGAGTACACACCCATAAACTTCCTGAACACGGAAAATAAGAAGAAAATAAGACAGAGGGCAGAGAACACACCGCCACACACTTATAGTGGGTCAGAAGTGATAACTGAAGGGAATTACCCGAACTGAGTCTATACATTGTTTTTACAAATATCCTTGCACACTATCTTTACATCAAAATAATAGTAAACCTTTAAATAACAGTCACTAGATGATAATAATTACTGAGAGCCTTTACATAATCTTGTAATTTATTAACAGTTTTTAAAACATTTCAACCACTTTATAGGACATTTGCAGCTTCATAACATGTTGTTAGGTCTTAGAATATAAGAGAAAATTTGTATTGTTACTGTATAAGTACAGAAAGATTCAGCCTGCAACTTTCATCACAATGCTACAATAAATTAGGTAAAAAAAATAGAGTTAAAATAGCGATTAATAAAGTTATAACATAATAAAAAGTATTGGACTGTATCAAAAAACCATAAATAGTTATCTTGCAATTATTGCTAAAAGGCTTCTGGTACATCGTATTGATTTCATAAACAGACTGTATCATATTGTTCATATCAACTCATTTGTTTCCAAGTTTTATTAGATACAGTATATACTACAAAATGTCCTCCATCAGTGACCCCCTTACCTCTGTCTCCACCAGACTGTCTGACCCACGTTACTGGAGCGCCCACCTCGGCATGCTGACACAGGGCAGTGCCAAATACGTGGCGGAGATCCAACGAATTGTGGTGCACGAGTATTATAACGCGTACACGTTTGACTATGACATCGCTCTGCTGCAGCTGAAGAAGCCCTGGCCTCCCTCTCTAAGCCCGCTGGTCCAGCCTGTGTGCCTACCACCACCCTCCCACACTGTCACCGACAGCCACCCCTGCGTGGTGACCGGGTGGGGATACCGCTCTGAGGAGGGTGAGCAACACCTTGGATAGAGCTCAGTGACTTTAATACTTTAATAAAACTATGAGGACTGACTGTATCACAATTATAATACAGTCAGTAATGCTCTTGTGCTATATCCCAGCTTCATCTGGGACCTAAGAGAGCATCTTTACCAACTCCTGCACTCTTATGAGCTACTGCTTATGTCAACTTAAAGGTCCAGTGTGTAAGATTTAGGGGGATTTAGTGCCATCTAGTGGTGAGGATTGCAGATTGCAACCGGCTGAAACTTCTCCTGGTTAGGATTCCTTAAGTTTTCATTGTTCAGGAGGTTTTTGCCAGTAGCTGAATTATATGCAGAGGGCTCTTCTACTCCAAAACAATCAGATCAGGTGATTTAAACTGGTATAACACTGAATAAAACAGTTCCCACAAACTGAACCTTTAAAGCACCCAAAATGTGTAAATATTTTATCAGTTGCGTGATCTATGCCTTCATCTTGCCCACTACAGACAAAGTGCTTCCCTCAGTGCTGCAGAAAGCAGAAGTGTCCCTGCTGAGCCAGACTGAGTGTAAGAAGAGATATGGACCTGTCTCCCCACGCATGCTGTGTGCCGGGGTCCTCTCTGGAGAGAAGGACGCCTGCAGGGTGAGCTCCCATCTCACTGAATTACTCACAATCACCTAGTAGTGGATGTGAAGCATTTAAAGTTGGTGTTCTTTATGCATTAAATGCACCCTTTGTATCTCAGGGCGATTCAGGGGGTCCTCTGTCCTGTCAGGCACCAGGTGGGGGTCGCTGGTTCCTGATTGGTATCGTCAGCTGGGGGGCGGGATGTGGCAGACCAAACCTACCTGGGGTCTACACCAGGGTCAGCAAGTTCACCTCCTGGATCTACAGCCATATCAGCTGACACGATGAAACTCTGATTCATCCAGTGCCAGCAGATGTTTAAATATTCTGACGCTCACACCAAATAATAAAAGCATCATCAGATATTATGTTCTGTCTGTTTATTGAATGTTGTCTTTACTGTTATTACAAGGTGCTATTGATGTGTGACTCAGATAAAATACAAAACAAATATAAAGTGCTTTGAAAGATTTTAATCCTCATCAGATATCTGCTGCATTCCTCCCTCCAAGTCTGGAGCTGTAAGCCTGTTATGTCCTGCTACAGCCTCACACACACTGGACAAGTTTGGTGCCAAAATTTGTAATTGCAGGTTCTGTCCTGCTTTGCGCCCCTGTGGAGCATCCAAGGGCACAGCAGCCAAGCTCCAATTGTAATACCTCGCACACGTTTCCCTCAAGCACCCCTTTGTCCCTCCAAGCTTCACTCCCGCGTACACAGCGAGGAAGTTTGCCCACAATATCTGTCGCACGGATGGTTGTACGGATTGTATCCTTTCATAGTGCTCTCATTGTCCCCCGCACTGCATTCTGGGGCTCCGTGTGACACCTGCCGCCCAGTTCAGGTAAACGGGAGGCGGTGAATGCCCGCCGCGTCCGAGCCGCTCAGGTCGGATTTCTGCGCTTTTTTTCAAAGGAAGCGACAGCGGGGGTTTCCTCTCTCTCCATCGTTTCTATGCCTGAGGTATTGTTGCATATCGCCTCTCCGGAGCTAAACGGGACAGTGCTATGAGGACTCTCCCCAAAAGCAAAACTTGCGAAGTGTACTGCGTCTCCGGGCATGGACACTCAGGCTGCGCTGCTGCACAGGTAAGAACACTGTGCGCTTTTCACTGCGCGTGAAGATGATGGAGCTAAACTGGACTTTGCTTTCTGACTTTTTTCTTAATATACTCTACATGTAGCCTATAATGCGTATAAAGTCTGTTTGTTTAACTTTTTGGGGTTTTTTTGTAATGGCAAAAGGATGCAAAATGATCAGAAGCTATCAAACCGAGACAGACATGCCTTATCTTAATTGCAAAATCAGTCCCTGGGGTGCCTTTCTCATGAATGTCCATGTCAGGGTGAGCCACTTGATTGAGTGCTGACACTGCAGAGCCAGGCCGTGGGAAAGCAGACTCCTCCAGCCACGCTTTGTCTGCTCCCCCGGGGAATCTTGCCAACCTCTTAAATGTTTTAGGAGATCCTTTCAGCTCAAAGATGCTCACCGTTACTCTCACTAAATCAGTGTCTACTCAGCCATTAAATCAATGTCTCATTGATCGTGGCACACAGGCTGCTTTTTCTGTATCCCTGTGCTCACATAATAAAATGCAAACAATTAGAAGCAACTTGAGACATTAAAAGCTGGTATGATATTTGAGTTCTTGTGTCTGGAAGGGACAGGGGGAGCTGAAGGAGCCCACCCAGTCACTGAGCCCCCCCACGAAGCCTGAGGATCAGGCAGAGCAGGAGGAAGAGGGGGGGCGAGCACCAGTGTGTGGCTCTTGGAGGAGATGGATGTTAGGTCTTCTGCCTTTCTTTCCCTTCGCTGCTGCCATTGCACTGACTCTCCACTTCTTGACGCGTGAGTACGCACCTGCTTTGGTGCCTCAGACTTTTTTTCCTGTCCTTAAAATGTGTTTATTTTGAAATACACCCACGGTCACACAAGTGCACCTGTCTCAAATCTCTGCCTCTTCCTCCCCAGCTCCGCCCTCCTCAGTGTTCTTCCTCGGTGGCAGCGTGGAGTTCCCAAACCTGAGCTTCACCTCAGAGCTGGCTGACTCCACCTCCCCTCAGTTCCGCCTGCAGGCTCGGGCTTTGAACCATTATGTAAGTGGAACGATGGACTTGTCCGTCACTGCGTCCCCTCTGAATGACACTTTAGAGTGCTGCTTGACCTTCCCACTCTACGCTGAAGCTGATCTCGCTGCTCCAACTTTGATATGGTTCACTACGGCAGGCTACTAGTGTCTTTAAAGTGGCGCTTTCAAAACACTGCTGCCCTCTTTCTCCTTCCCATTCTCCTCTCTTGTTGTCTGTCTTTGCATTCTCATTCATTTGCTTTTCTCTTTATCAGCTTTGTCCTCCTCTCCCTCCCTCTCTCTCTGTTTCTCTCCTCTGTCCCTCTCTCTGTCTCACTCTGGTGGTGTTAAATGTAAAGCTGAAACAGGAGCTGAGCACGGTGTGTGCGCAAGTTCCCGAGACCCCCAGGGACAGGGCCCTTTCAGGGCTGAGGACAAGCCCGGCATTTGTGAGCCCAGCTAGGCCCAAGCAGCAAGAGTGAGAGGAAGAGCAGGCCTTCAATAAAAACATTGTCTGTGTAGCTTTCACACAATCAGCCACTCTGTGTGCCGAACAGTACAGAGAGGAGGTGAACCTCAGTTTGATGCTGGGGTCGAGAGGGAGAGACAGGGCAGTAGGGCAGGCTGGGATGAGAGAAGGATTGGGGAGATACGAGAGGGGGAATTTGGAGTAAAGGTCAGATGCACAGCCAGACATTCTTGCTGAGCGTTGGAGAAATGGTGAATTGATAGGTGTAAATCCCCCCAAATCTACACTGACATAGTGTAATGCTCCTTTAATCAGCTGTGAGGGTGAGTTAGCAGGCTTGTTAAGTGGTCATAGTATCTGCACAGCCATCTGTTCATTAAAGAACAGGTGAACTCAAGGCCAAGAGCCCATACTACCCAGGGTCCTACCTCTACACAGCCAGCAGGTAGAGGCACAATGGAGCTCTGTGCTGCTCAAAGTCAACATACACACATGCAGACTTTGATACACACACACAAGAACAATGCTTTTGTTGAGCTCAGGCTGCGTGTTCGACCAGGTGTGCTCATGTGTTGCTTACACGGGAGAAGTGACCTCACTTACACTGCTGTGATGTCACACCTACAGTACTGTAGAGTACAGTATGTTGTCAACCCTCCCTTTTTGTCTTTGTTTTAAAACAGTTCTCAGAGCTCTACGAGTCCTCGCCGTGGAGCTCTTACTACCTGCACTCAGGAATTACTGCCTTCAGGTATGATGCACTGACAGAAAGCCTGCTGATGAAATGACACCACAGTAGCAACATTGTTAACCCTTTGTGTGACAGTGAAGGAGCGGAAGGGCTCAATGTCTTCTACTGGAGTAAATTCTCCGCCCCGGATGATGTTGCAGTGGCGATCCGGATGTCCAGCCCAGAGAGGCTACAGCGCAGGCTTCCTGGCAGCAACAAGGTGCTGCGGGACAGCCGCAATGAGCAGCGCTATTACATGGAGCAAGATGACGACATGCTCCACCTGCTGGGTAGAGGCTCTCACTGTTGTCTGCATACATACAGTCCATGCACGTTAACCACACACACATATGTACTCATACGTTTACTTTCCGTTTCAGCATTATGCAGATATAAGCTTACATTAAACATATTTTTCCTCTTACCTGTAGTGCTATTTATCCGTCTAGATTGTTTTGCTGTGAGTTGCCAAATGTTGGAGATATCAGGCATAAAGGTGTCTGCCGCTGGTCTCCCACAATCCACCTCACCAAAGGAGAGAGGATTTCAAGAGTTTCACTGAGCTAGCTGACATTACAGCTCAGCCGAGGAGGACACCATTAATGTTTCCATCTCATGCTGTCACAAGCCTTTAGTTCATGAGTAGATACATGGTGGGTGTGGTTCATTAGAAAGAAAATAGTTCCTACATGAAACTGCTCACAACAAGGTCTGTGGATTATCTTGAGTAAGTGAGTCATGATTTCTTGAAGGAGACATTGCTGTTGAGTTTTTCTAATGTATTATTTTGGCACTTTGAGCCCCACAAGCTGAGTGCCGTCTAGTTCCATTATACTGGAGAGAAGGCAGACATCTCTGCAGCTGATATCTCCAACATTCAGCAACTCACACCAAAACAATCTAGACTGATAAATAGTACTAAAAATAAAATATGTTTTTTTGATTTTGTAGTGAACTGCCCCTTTAACTTCCAATAAATATGTTAAAAGCAGTAACATTCAAGTAGAAACACTTGATTTAAAAACAATTAATTAACGCTTCACCCTTTGTAAAACTTCATTAATAAATAATGTGGTTTTATATACGTGTACATCTAGTGTTGTAGAATTTCTAGTGAATGTTGGCATCTGTTGTGTGTGTAGGTTTGGACCCTGACGACATTGAGTCAGAAGAAAAATTGGACAAGAGTAAGAATCCAAACAGCATCCAGAGTGGGAAGTGGCAGCTTGGCTTCCAAGGTGAGGAGAGCGTGCATCTGACTTTATGCTGCAAAATCTAAAGATCTGGTTTCTGATGGTGAGTTAAACGTTTAAAAAAAAGAGTGACTGAGGCAGACTGTCTGTTCCATCAAAATAAGCTTAAACATTGTGTTTGTTTTGTGCTTTTGACTGCAGTGGATTTTTGCTTATGTGAAGTACAGCAATATTTGCCTCCAACTTCTTGGTTTCCTTTAATTTTCACCTTTTAACCCTGGTCTGCATGACAGCCTGCTGACAGGGCAAGAAAAGTGACATGGCTCATGATGTTTGTGCAGTCATATATATATTTCCATTACTTCATTTGTTTAGCAATGTCCTTTGACCTCTATGCCAAATATGGCAACAACCGCACCCTGAGCCTTGTGAGTCCCAAGAAGCCGTACTACCAGTGGCGTCTTCGCGTGCCGTCGGGTCATGTGGTTCGACTGGTCATCCTCACCCTGCATGGTGCCACACCAGGAAGCTGCACCGCCCACAAGCTCTCGGCCTACGACTTTTTACTTCCATTACAGAACAAGATAATTGCCAGGTAAACACATTGTATGGCTGTTTAGACTCTGGAGTTACTGTGACAGCATCTGCACTGTTGTATACACCCACCAGCTACTTAATTTGGTACACCTTGCTAGTACCAGGTTGGACCCCTTTTGCCTTCAGAACTTCCTTAATTCTTGGTGACATAGAGTCAACAAGGTGCTGTAAACATTCCTCAGAGATCTTGGTCCATATTGACATGATGACATCATGATGACATCACATGATGTGAATCTCCTGTTCCACCACATCCCAAAGGTGCTCTATTGGATTGAGATCTGGTGACTGTGGAGGCAACTGGAGTACAGTGAACTCATTGTCATGTTCAAGAAACCAGTTTGAGATGATCTGAGCTTTGTGACATGGTGCGGTATCCTGCTGGAAGTAGCCATCAGAAGATGGGTACACTGTGGTCATAAAGGGATGGACATGGTCAGCAACAATACTCAGGTAGGCTGTGGTGTTTAAACCATGCTCATGTGGTACTGAGGGGCCCAAAGTGTGCCAAGAAAATATCCCCCACACCATTACACCACCACCACCAGCCTGAAACGTTAAAACAAGGCAGGATGGATCCATGCTTTCATGTTGTTTACACCAAATTCTGACCCTACCATCTGAATGTCGCAGCAGAAATCCAAACTCATCAGACCAGGCAATGTTTTTCCAGTCTTCTATTATCCAGTTCTGGTGAGCCTGTGTGAACTGTAGCCTCAGTTTCCTGTTGTTTGTTGACCGGAGTGGCACCTGGTGTGGTCTTCTGGTGCTGCTGCTTCCCCATTCTGATGCTCGGTTTAAACTTCAGCAGGTCGTCTTGACCATGTCTACATGCATAAATGCATCGAGTTGCTGCCACGAGAGCTAAAAGATTGACTGATTAGCTATTTGCATTAATGAGCAGTTGAACAGATGTACCTAAAAAAGTGGCTGGTGAGTGTATGTCTACTTTATACACAAATCCTGGATGCATTTACCTGTCTCAGGTGGTGTGGGCTCCCTATTTCGGGTTCGTCCCCTGTCATGAAGCTGACATCCTCTGGGAATGTGATGCTGGTCACCTTCTCCTTCAGCAGACAGAGGGATGGAGCAATATTTAAAGCTTACTTCCAAGCCATCCCAAAAGCAGGTGACTGCTCTCACTGAAATACACACAGCCCAGTTCTACAAATCTTGTGTGACGTGTTCATGTTCATGCTGGAATTATTTATTTCCACTGATTAGCATATAAAGTTGCCTCAGTGTACTCATTGCACTTCAGTGTTTCACTGTTTCCCCCTGCAGGTTGTGGAGGGTCGATTTCCTCCTGGAACGGCTCTATTTCCTCCCCCTACTACCCTTCTTATTACCCTCCTAACATAGACTGCACCTGGACGCTACGGGTGAGCCACATGTGTGCATACATGCTTGTGAGTGTGCGTGTTAGAGACAGTGGAATAAGAATGAGAAAGTGCGAGAGTGAAAGAGTGAATCATCCCTTTGTCATATGGCCCGTCCACATTCCAGCATGTGAGTCGTCTTTGGTTACTTTATCAGGCGCCGTTGCCAGGATACCTGATCTCCATGACGATCGTGACGATAGACATTCAGGATTCCTCGTCATCAGACGGCTGTGAGAAAGACTGGCTGGACATTGGAGGGGTCAAGTGAGTTTTGAAACTTCATCCACATCAGTAAAATTTTAAAAGATGTTTCTACAATATTCACTTCACTTACTGAAAGTGTGTTTTATGTCATATTGTTTAAGACGTTCTATGTGTATTAAAGTGGCTGAATGTGTGAGTTCAAAGTTAGATGCCTTACTTTTGTGCTCCTCTGAATCTAGGCTGTGTAATCCAGTGTCAGACAGCAGCAAAAAGCGAGTCTACTCCTCTCCTCTCTCCCTCCACTTCCATTCAGACGAATCTCTCACTCACAAGGGCTTCTACTTGGTCTACCGAGCCTTCTCTCCAGAGGGCAGTAAGTAAAATCTGATGCTTTCAAACAACTAGCTCAGTCAGAGAGGATAACTGATGCAGTGTCAATGCAGCAGATGTGTTGTTGGCAAGACCCCCTGAACTGAGACAAAGTTATGATCAAGACCAGCGTGTAGTACATTCAAATCTCATCCATGTCTGTCTCCAGCCTGTCCTCGCCAGTTTCGCTGCGGAGATGGACGCTGTATCCCTCTGAGGAAGGTGTGTGATGGAATAAAAGACTGCTCAGATGGACGGGACGAGGCTAAATGCTGTAAGTCTGTTGCCCGATTTGCCCATGATTTCTTTCTTACATGACCGTTGTGCTACACTCAGATTTGTATGCGTTTGTGTGTTTTTACTGTATGTGCGCAATTGCACATATGTGTGAAACATGTAGCATCCTGCAGGCCAGGTGAAGTGTTGTGTGGGAACGGCCAGTGTAAGCCTCAGAGCAGCCAGTGTGTGAGCCAGAGCGCGTGTGCAGACAGCAGTGAGGAAGGCGCCTGTGGTGAGTAGGCTGTCATAACTGTAACACATGTGTGCTTGTTTGTATTTTGCTAATTAAAGCTTATGTGTGTGTTTACAGGAGGGAAATGTTACCACGTGTGTCCCAACAAGGTGTGTTTGCCAAAGTCTTCAGTGTGCGATGGTGTTGTTGACTGCAAAGACCGCAGCGATGAACTCAACTGTACCAGAGCGTGTGAGTATTCATGATGTTGGATAGACTGACTGATCAGTTTGAGTGTATTTTATCACAATATGTAAAATTTATTAGTACTTTTCTGTATTTTTTTAATGCCCTTTGTTCCATGTTTTCTAATAATGTCTTTCATTCTCTTTAGACCTTAAAGGCTGCTCCTCATCCTCTTACAAATGTGCTAATGGAAAGTGTGTGAGTAAGGTTAACCCTGAGTGTGATGGAGTCAAAGACTGCTTTGACGGCTCTGATGAACTGCGCTGTGGTAAGCTGTAATTGTCGTTATGACTACAAACTGAATAAAAGTCCTCTGAATTCTGCTGTCATGATTTTTGTCTCTTCCTCTGTCTCCCTGTGTGTCCCAGGTTGTGGCACCAGGCCCAGGAAGCGTACTAAAATAGTGGGTGGCTCTGACGCTGGGGCGGGGTCATGGCCGTGGCAGGTCAGCCTCCAGATGGATCGCTACGGCCACGTCTGTGGAGCCACACTTGTCGCCAGCCGCTGGCTCATCTCTGCAGCTCATTGCTTCCAGGACTCAGATGCCATTAAGTAAGAGACACCTGGAAGCGTCGTTACGATAATCATAATTCTTGTGCGTGCTGTATTCATTTATGTTGTGTCTGCAGATATTCAGATGCCCGTGCATGGCGGGCCTATATGGGAATGCGTGTGATGACTACAGGGAACAACGGCGCAGCCACCAGACCGATCCGTCGGATCCTCCTCCACCCACAGTATGACCAGTTCACCTCTGACTACGACATCGCCCTCCTCGAGCTCAGTGCTCCGGTCTTCTTCAATGACCTGGTGCAGCCTGTGTGCGTCCCCGCCCCCTCACACACCTTCACAACAGGGACCAGCTGCTACGTCACAGGCTGGGGGGTCCTCATGGAGGACGGTAAGAGCTAAAGTACAAAAAGTATGTTTTTAAATCTTGCTGATGTTTTGAAACTAACTTCAATCTGGGCTAACACAGACAAGCATCCAGTGTGGTAAAATTTACAACATACCACAAGATGTTTGATGTTTGTTTTAATTTTAGGTGAACTGGCCTCTCGCTTACAAGAGGCCTCAGTGAAGATAATCAACAGGAATACTTGTAACAAGCTGTATGACGAGGCTGTTACTCCCAGGATGCTGTGCGCAGGGAACCTGCAGGGAGGGGTGGACGCCTGCCAGGTGAGTGTGTGCTTTACTGTTGCTGTGTCTTCGCACAAGTACCGTAAACCTTCAATTAGTAGCCCGGACTGTTATTTACTTAAATCACTGAACTCAACAGGCTTATATTTGGGACAGGCCTTTAATTCCTTTTAATCAAAACTATTGTGCAGCAAAGATGGCGAATGCGATCAAATTGTTTATTTGAACCAGTGTGATATTACTTGTATAAAAATGTGATGTAAAGACACCCATTTGGCAGCACTTGAGGACTGACAAACATGCAACAATTTTGGACTACAAAATGCAGACTTGATATGCAGTGGCCGTATGACCGAATTCACTGTTTATCAGTGTTCATCAGTGTTCTGTGGCGCCCACCAGAGGAGAGAAGTGCGAACAGTTTGTATCAAGGCTGTGAAGGGTTTGCAGTGATGTTTATAAAAAATGGCTTTCCTCATTGAATTCAGTTTCAGATTTATGTTCTACATCTTCCAGAATTTTTCCTTTAAACCACAACAGAGTAAACTGAGACTTACACATTCATATTTTCTGTCCTCTCTAGTGTCGCACATCCTCCATGTGTCTGGACCTGTCTGTTATGAAAAGTCACTGCAGATTTTCTGGAAATGTTGTTATGTTCACGTGAATCATCGTGCACGTGTGTCTCTCAGGGTGACTCAGGAGGTCCGTTGGTGTGTCTGGAGCGAGGCAAGCGGTGGTTCCTGGCAGGGATCGTGAGCTGGGGCGAGGGCTGTGCGAGGCAGAATCGCCCCGGTGTCTACACGCAGGTGGTCAAGTTCACTGACTGGATCCATCAGCAGACCAAAGGACAGGTGTGACTGAACAACACACTGACATGAAATAAAGACTTAACACACAGGACGAAGGTCTCAGACCTGGAGTCCATCTTCAGATCGTTGTCATGACTGCATGACAACACATTCAGTCAGTTTTTGGGAGTGTGTCCATGGCAACGGGCCTGCGGGGACATCATCAGCGCTCCAAACCGACCAGCTTCCTTATAATCTCCGACCACTGACAGTGGCTATGTTGACATGCACAAAAAATGTAACCTGGTTGTTAAATTAATTTGATTTTGGGTCGTTACACATAAATGTTGGAATTTGGTTTGAATACCTTACACAGGTTACAAATACAATACCAAATTATGTTAGAGAATCCTGTGCTAATTTCACAGGGTGCTTAAACATAAAACCACACTATCAGCTTTTAGTTTTCACTGCACACACGTAGACCGAACTGTGGTTCAATATTTATGACTCTAATTTTGACAGAGCAATAGCTTGCTCAAAGTCAAGTCAAACTTTATTTGTAGAGCACCTTTAAAACAATGACAGTTGACCAAGTGCTGATCAGTCACAAATTACCAAAACAACAGAGGACGCATTGCAGCACAACAGAGGATGTCAAGCTCAAATCAACGAGATGAGGAGGGTCTTCAGCAGCAACTTAAAGGTTTCTGTGGTCTGAGCAGTTTTCATTTGAATAGGTAAGGTGCAGAAGTTCGGTCACCACTGTTTGTGTTTTGTTCTGGGAATATCCAGGAGCATCTAATTGGTCAACTTCAGTGCTCCAACTAGAATATGAAGATGCAAAAGTTCTGCTTGATAAGGTGGCACCAGCTGGTTTAAAGCAGGATTTATACTTCTCCTTGGATATGTAACAACACGTCCCAGCGACACAGACGTCCTGTCTATTTTTGAAAGCTGAAACCATTTCCCTCAGTGGAAACAAAGCTTTTATTTACTTTAATTTCACAGATAAGAAACAATAAATTATGAAGACAATGAAGCCTCCACAAAAATAGCATTTTAAGTCTTGTGTGATTTATCCTGGCTTCATATATTTGTATATTTGTTTGGAAAACGTGTTTAGTATAAGACAGTTGTTTTGTCAGTGAGTTGTAATGGAGCCAAATTATGTACTGTTACCTTTGTTAAATGTTGCTGTTGTCCCTGGCTTCATATGAGTAAAGGAAAAGTCCACTAGCTGCTAGGCTAATTTATACAATGTAAAATGCTGTAGGCTTGTGCTAATAACGTTAGCATGTTGTATTTGTGGGGAAAATGTGTCCAGATAAAGACAAGTGCTTTGTCTGTGAATGCTGCGAGTTATAGTGAAGCTGATTTGTGTACTTGTGTTTAAAATGGTTGTTATTAAGCCATGTTTAATGTGTGTTTAATGTGTGTTTTGAATCAACTAAACTTTACAGCACTTCACAGAAACCCTGCCGCCAACTAGCTCACAATGGCATATGCCACATGTGTAGGCTATGGCGTATTCTCTGTATAGAGCTGACACACAAGTATAAATCCTGCTTAAAACCTTAAAAATAAGCAATAAAATCTTGAAATCAATCCTGAAATGGACAGGAAATTAGTTGAGGGAAGTCAGTACTGGTGTTATGTGATCATATTTTCTGATTTCAAGCTAGAGATACAAGCGGCAGCATTACGTACTAACTGCAGATGTCAAACAGGCGATTGTTGTACACCCACATTACACCACAAACCAAGTGCCATCTAGTTCCATTATATTAGACAGAAGGCAGACATCTCTATGGCCGATATCTCCAACATTCTGCAGCTCACGCCAAAACAATCCAGACTGAAAGATAGCACTACAGTTATTAGGACGAATATGTATATTTGGTTTTTGGGTGAACTGTCCCTTTAAGTCTCCTCAGTCAGGTGGACTGATCAAGCCCAAAGTTCAAGAAACTAGCCAGGTTATCCCGTGCATGTAAATGTAGCCAATTACTTCCTGTTTTTCCTGTCACAGCTGACCATGTCAGGTGTTGCCAACAAAAATCACAACGGTCCTTTTACCGAATGTGGAAAGAGTTCTCTCCCCACACGCATGTAACCATCTATTTTTTCCTCATCTACATTCGTCCATGTACTGTATATGTGTGTTCATGACCGACTGTATGTGTATTGTACTGTATGTGTATGTATGTGCATTTGTATATCATGAGTTTCTCTGAGTCATAGCCTTATGTTCAATATATTCTGTAATGGTAGAGAAGTGAAAAATCCTTCAGTAGGAGGTGATAATATATTTTGCATTTCAGTTTTACTGTGATTTAATTTATCATCACGGTGCCTCTGTTGTAGCCTACATCATGCTCCATGAGAAGCATGATCACAGCTCCCTTTAAAAATCATGATGCTGGTTAATAAGATTATCAGGAGGAAACTTTACCAATCTTTTCTGTGCAGACACCTGTCTCCCGCTGCTCATTCAGCTCACATCACCACCCAGTGGCCACTTTGTACCACCGTTTATTTTATGACCCGAGGGAATGATGCACCTCACACCCAAAGGATTAAAAAACATTGCGCATCATTGTTTAATTATACCAGCTTTTACATTAAAGACACAGTTTGCAGTGCAACAGGTCTTACAAAAACTGTTGTAATTATTATTACTATGACATTTATAGTGTTTTGTTTTTTCTTACTACAATGTCCAAAAGTGAAATTTGGCTGAGGCTAGGTTGAGACATCTCTGCTGCTTTAGCTGTAATTGGTGCTTTGACTGAAAAGAGTGCAACATGAGGCACCTGTGCAGTACAATACTTTGGAAACAATATAATTTCATCACCATGATGTTTGAGTAGGAAGTCACCTTAAAGCTAAGGTTACCTGTTTATACGTGACGAGTTCCTTGTTTTTCTAGTTGTGTGATTTGCTCGTCCAAGAAAATCTCTTCTTTATTTACTTTCCGATGAAAGATTGAAATGTGAGAAACGTGACTGTCAACTTGTTGATGAGAACACCACCCGTTTTCTCCGGTGCCTACGTGCTGATCACCGCGTATACCAATTCAGAGTACACGCAAGATTTAAACACAGAGCTGCACATATGCGCATCCTCTCCGGCACTCATTGGTGCGTAATTCTAGTCTGTTCTGGAAATAAAATAACTTGCAGATTTTTAGATGGGGAATGGCTTTTTCATGTATAAATGAATGTTTTAAAGTATGTCAAAAAGCAAAGGCTAGTTTGGACCGTTAACCTTTATTAACACCTCACAGGTCGATTACTTGACCACTGGGGAGAACTAAAAGGGGACTGCTGTTACGCGCCTTGGGTGTGTCAATGGACGTCACGGAAGTCCGCTATCCGGTGGCTGCACTGTGGGAACTGCATAAATCCGCGCCACTATCCAAAACGATGGGAAAAAGTTGCACTGGAGTTCAAGCGTGGTGTCCTGTTGCGTGATCTCCCGCAGCTATCCTCAGGAAACCAACCACCTCTATTCACTGACCGTCAGCGCTGAGCGCCACAGCCAAGTGCGCTGCGCTGTGTCCAGTCTGCTCTGGAGGGGGAAAACATCAGGAATAAAACTCGTCTTATATTTGATATTTGAAACCTCGGAGTCACCAGAGATGATGAATTTTATCCTCATCTGCCTGCTATGTGGATTGTATGGTGTTCTTGCAAAAGGTGAGTAACAAGTTCAGTTTTGTTGATGCAATAACAAAGGCTGCGCAGAGCACCTGCTGTAACGGTTTGAGCCGGTGTTGATAACTTACACAGCTACTTAAAGTTCTTATTTAGGTTTTATTCGTAAGGCTTTAACGGTTTAATGGTAAACTAGTGATAACCTGTGGAAAATTGTATTTTACGCACGACTTTTATTATGAACATTGTTTCCCATGAGCCAGGGGGTCCTAACGGGTCATGAGGTATCTTTACGCTCTTCAAAAACAAAGTCATTTCCATCACTAAGGCAGAACCTTCAGTCTTTACTTTGGAAGAAAACAAAAGACGCACAGATGTGGCTCTTCATTGTGGCGTGCTGTGGTGCTGCTGCTCGTTTATTGGGCAATTAAGTCGCCGGTGCGCTCGTGTGTCCGAGGCCGCTGAGCCTGTAAACCTCTATTGGCACCGAGTGCAGGGAGGGAGATAAGCGCTATCCTGCTGGACACTTGTTTGGATAATGCGGACCTCTGTGGCCCGGCTCCTTGTGCGCTTGGCCCCGACTGAATGGATACATGCAGGGCGTTGTTTCCTGAGACTGATGAGTTTGTCTAATGAAAGTTCTGATTTAAAAGAACGAGGGGTCGTGACCGACTGAAGAAAAATATCCACTGGGCAGGAACCGGGGTTAATATGCGCTTATTGCTCAAACAGTCGGCAGGTTGCTTTTATGCGCCTCGCAGACCTCTGTGGTTTTATTGGTCATTTAGAAGTCTTTTGTGGCTGAAAGACAAAAAGCTACCATTGTTTTTTTTGTCCCTGCAAAATAATGCAATGCGCAATGAAAATCAAGTTAAGAACTTAATATGCATGGCCTGATATTTTTTATATATATATAAACACATATGATCTATGTCAGTTAACATAATTAACTATTAATTAAGTAGCATTTGCTTTTTAAAATACTTGTTTTAAGTGACTTCTCTGTTGTCTATTTTAAAGAAAACTAAACTAATAAATAGCAGTTATCTGGTATTAATTGGCCAAATCGGCAAATAGGGGAGAACTGTGAGGCCCAGTAGTTCAATTAGGCAAGGTTTTAAGGAACTTTATATATCTTTTTTTTCTCTGGCCAATGCAATAATCTGTCAATCAACAAATAGTCTAAAACACAATCTAAAATCAGTACAATAAATATATTATCATGATAATAATCTGCATGTTGAGGACGTCAGGAGTCCTAATGTGCAACATGCATACAGCATCTTACAAACATTTTACATACTTATACATTCACTTTTATTAGTACCCATCCCATTGTCATTGTTAAAATATTATAATTAACTTTATTAGGTTAATGATGCAAATAACATCTGATAGAAGATCTTAATTTTTTTTTTTACAAAAAAAAAAACAAAACTTTTTATAACCAAATTTCATGAAACAATCTGCGCATATGATGATTCAGTTAAACAAATTTAGGTTCTTCTCTTTTAGCAGTAATATCCCCCCTTTATCCTCCCCCCAAAAAATGCCCTCCCTGCTCATAAAAGCAAAATAATCAAAAATAAATAACAATAATAACATATATAAAGTAACTGATCAACAAAGAAAAAAGTCAAAATGCATACTCAGCACAAAATCCGCCCCTAAACAGGACATAATGAGTAAACATTGTCAATTAATTGACATTTTTATTATTTCAACAAGTTTTTAGCCTGTTTTGTTGCCCTATTACACCAAACCTTAGACAAATGAGAGTGTTAGATGAATTCTCTAGAAATGATTTCATCATCTTAAAGCTCTTGAGATTAGATGCTGTGATGTCAGTGCAGAGAGGTCTCGAGGTGGGCATTTGAATAGTGTTAAATGTCAGTTTTTTATAATAATGGTCCTTTTTTCTCCTTGGACACGAACATCTGCATCATCAAGTGTTTCTTCTGAAATTCCTGATAGGTTAGTAAAGTTTTTTTTTCCCTGGGAGTGTTTAATGTGCAGAAACCTCCTACAAAAAACATAATGTCACATGATGGGTGTGTTGCATTTCTGTGGTTGGAAATGTGATGTTTTTCTTTCGATTTTACTCAGGTGCAATAGCAGGAGAACTGCACTGAGATATTTAGAAATGGTGCCATTAGACACTCCACAGCTATGTGAGAAGGCCTCAACAAGGCCTGGTGGAGATCACTAACTTCCCCTCCGTCTTCCCTCACACTGTCATGTGTGTGTTTCTTGCCTACTCACTCACACACTGTGAAACCCAAGGAAATAGTATAGGAAGTGCTAACAGTGTGAGTAATGCTGGATCTGCTGAATGGGGCATCCACTGGGAACAATGATGCTGACAATAAATGGTAATAATGGACTTTCGTGATAAACTAACTCACTGCTGTAGGAGTGATTTAACTACTTGCAGAGCAGTGACACAGTTGAGTTGTGAGGAGTGTTTTGAGCTGTACACCCTGTAAGGAGCAGTCACAGTGAAGGACGGACTTCCCTGAATGATGTTTCCGCTGTTGTTGGGAGGAAGGAAGGGCGAACAGACAGGCGTCTTTATCTCTCATTAATAAGCCTCAGCGATGGAGTGGAGAAATGCCTTTATTTGATAAACAAGAGGCACACTGCTTACGCATTTCCACACAAGCCATCAAGTGGCCTGAGTGAGGAGATGAGCAGAGGGTCACAGATACAGTGGCCTGGATGGACTACGTGCTGTGGAGCCGGGACTCACACAGACAGACGGTTCTGCAATCAGTCAAGAGTCCGGTTTAGTCCGGTTTGTAATGGACAGAGCTTACAGGAACTGTCCACAATATTTATTGGTTGTAAAGTGTTTTGTCTTTCAGGATTTCCTCGGAAAGTGGTCTCATGCAGATCTGGGTCAACACAAAGGGACTTGGACCTTCTCGTTCATGACTCCCAGTCATACGATTAGAATTGAAAATCAACAAATTCACCATTTTGATATATTAGTTTATTGATTAGTAGAACTCATTCCCTTGTTTCAGAAAGTAAACACCCTGCTCAGATGTCCCTAAAGAATATTGCATGATGAACTCTTACAAGCTGACCTTGACCTCTGACCTCTCTGAAGGATTCATGTCTGTAAATAAATCCTTTATAATTACTATCTGACTTCCCATAGTAGTTTGGCAGTGCAGTTATTAAGTCATGGGATGGTGCTCCCACCACAGACATCTGATTCTCATCCTTCTCCTGCCTCTGCAGACAAAGATCAGAAGGGGAAGTACAGCGTTCCTATTCTGGATGTGAAAACCCGGCAGCTGGTTCATGACATCAACCAGACACTACTGCTCGGCTGCAGGTGAGTTTCAGGTAGACAGATCCAATCCAGAAACCCTAATGTGGGCAACAGTGTTGCATGACAGAGCTTACAATATTACAATAGCTGTGAACAAAGCAAACACCCCCCAAACATCTTTAAGACTTAATTATCTTAGAGTCATATATAAGATGATCGTCAAAATCACCACCAGCACACTCACTGTTATTAGACAATTTATTGAGATACCAAGTTGTTGTAGAGGCAATTTACTGACTTTTTTCCAACTTAAAGGTCCAGTGTGTAGGATTTAGGGACATCTACTGGTAGAAATGGTATATAGAATTCATAACTACCTTTTCATTAGTTTATAATCACCCAAAAATACGAATTTTTGTGTTTATGTTACATTAGATTGAGCCCTTTATAATGGAGTTTAGCAGGTCCTCTACCACAGAGGCCACCATGTTGTTCTATGGCAGCCCACAATGGACAAACCAAACACTGGCTCTAGATAGGGCCATTCACGTTTTCGCTCTTTTGCATTTTCATGTCAGCCACCGTAGTTTTCCTACACGCTTCGCACATGAGAGAAGGTTCAGTCTTGCAACCCCACCCCCACCACCACCACCATATGCCACTTAAGTCCACACTCTGGACCTTTAAATTTATATCGGCAATAGATTTGCAACATATAAACACTTAATTCACATTTTACGCCATTCATCATTCATTGCTAATAGATCTAGTTGTAAATATGTTTAGATATTTTGGTTTTGAGTCTTGTGTAGTGTCATGTTTTCTCTTTACCCACCCAGTTGTGATTCTTGTGCTCTCAATAGGCGATATAAGTGTCTCCATTAAAATATTTCTTCAACAGTGGTCCTATAGGGAATTTATTTCTCCCGAGCTCTTCCTAATATCTTTATATTCTTGTTATTGATAGTTTCTCAGCCAAAGATCTGTTGCTTCCTATTACACACTCCACATGTGTCAACAAAACCAGACAAGATGTTTTCCATGCAAAGTTTGTAGTCATAGGCTAGAATTCGGAGGGACGCGTGGGAAACGTCCACCCTCAATATTTAGAACCTGTACTTTTGTCTCACCCAAAAAATATGTGAAAGTAGCAGAAGACTTTTGATTTGATGATACTTAAGGTATTTCCACCATATACTAATGCAGAAAATGCACAAACTGGTGCAAAAAATTAGCATAATGTAGGAAGTAAAGTGCTGATGCTCAAAATTTCTTAGCACAGGACCCCCAAACCCCCATTTCATACAATTTTATTCTCATTTTCCACATTCAACACCAAAACATCATACAATCCGAAGCAGACACTAATACATGAGGGATCTGAGTCTTAAAAAGCCCTTTAGTGCATCTTCATAAGGCCTCTCAGTGTGATTTAAAGCTCTTGAAAATGCACAAGTCTTCCTACCCCTTATGGTAAAACAGTCTTTGGCTAAAGAGATATAGTTCCCATGATGCAAGCCACTGTTTTCTAAGCAAACTCTCGACACTCTGTACCTGTTGACCAGGGGTCGCTGGGAGCTGACATGGGCGTTCCCATCAGGTTTGGCCAGAGATCAGGTGCAAGTAAAGGAGTCTCGCTGTAGCAAGACGAGCCAGCAGTACTGCAGCCAAGTGATGGTGAGCAGCGCGCAGGCCCAGCACACCGGCCTGTTCCGCTGCAGGTACCGACACCGACCCCGGAAACAGACCTCCATCTATGTATATGTCACAGGTAAGACACTGCTGCCCGAGGTCCAAGAGTTTAGCTGACACTTCTTTTCTCTTTTGTCTCTCTCATAGAGCAACCCTTCATGCCTTCACCCCTTCATGCTCATTGTTTATATCCTCAGGTTAAACAGGATGTGGTGGGTGCTAAATACAGACCAATGCCAGAGAGCCAATTATATCTAAACACTGTTTGTCCCAACAACACATCCTTCTAGATGACTCTGGCACAGTTTCATCCCCCTCCTCCCCTGCCTCACTTTTCTCAGCCCCGGCCTACCTCCCCGTTGTCTATATATAAATCCTTTTTTACTTTCATTTACGTGCTACCTCGGGGCCAGGAATAGCCCAGCTGCTGAAAGGCTCAGGCCTGGGCAGAGTTTCCCAGGGCATCAGCCTTATCTGCTCTGCTCAGCCTTGCTTGAAGCATCCTGTGCTTGGGGGAGGAGGGGAAGGGCTTGAAGGGGGTGTGCTGGGAGGGGATGTCGCTGTGTCTCTACAAGGTGGCGGTGGGGAGGTGTATGGAAGTGCATGTTTGTGTGTGTGTGTGTGTGAGAGGAGCTGAGAAGGATAAGATGAAGGCCAGCGGCTCAGTGGTATCAAGGGGCAGAGGAGGCACGATGTCTACCCGGGCGGCTCCTCCCTGTTCTGGAGGGTGATGCTGGTCAGGCTGGGTTGGGCCGGGCACCGAGCTGGGCTGGAGGCCAGGGTCACAGGGCACGCTACTGTTTGGCCAACAGGACCCTCGAGGGCCATCAATCGCTCAGGTCACCATGTCCATTAAGCGTCAGACTTGGCCTGCAGCTCTTCTCAGACGTTGCCTCCCTCCCTGAGTCCTCTATTAGGAATCAAAGCAAGAGAAGGAAGCCCTCAGTCCGCTAGTCCTTTGGGTACTTTTGTTCGAATGTTCAGAGATTTGCTTTCCTTGAATAACACCCTACGGTAACAAACAATACAGTGAGCAACACCCACACTTTTCAATGGCACAGGACTATTACAGTGGTCGAGCTGGGAGAAGAAAAAGCTCAGAGAGGCCGTTTGATTGCCTCTAAACAATCTGTGTGTTTATTGTTGACTTCACGCAGTTATTTACTGAATGGGTATTCAATGAATGGGCGTGGAGTATGTTTAGGAGTGTGTGTCTGTTTGTTTTTGTTTATTGCTGAGATTGATACTTGGAAGTGTTTGTTTGTGTGTTTGTGTACAGAGGCAGGTGATTGTTATCTTTCCTCTTTGTGTGTACATGAAATTAAAGGGTCAGGTCATAGAAAATCATAGAAAAATATGTTTTCTCACTCGGTCCAGGAGTTATTTTCCACTGGGGACGGAAAAATCCCCACAAATAAAAAGACAAATAAAACTTAAATAAAAGAAAGTATTTTTTTTTTTAACTTTTATTATGTGCCCACACCCCAAATCTGACACCAAACGTATTACAATGCACCATGCAGATTTTATTGACTTTAATAATAATGATAATAATAATAATAATAATAGATTAATAAAGTGCCTTTTATACAGGGGGTGTAGCTCAGATTGCTTTGAGGAGAAGAAACAACAGAATGAATACAGGCACATTAATAAGGGAAAGTACTGCTTAATAAAACAAACCAATTACATGAATAACAAACAAAAGAAGCAGCACACAGCAAGAACAGACAGGCTAAATTTAATAGAATATATGAAAGATAAAAACAAGGAAGGCATATGAAGAATATAACAGAATAAAACAAAGGAAAGTTTTCATCTCTTGTTGCCTTGGTTAAAGAAGCCTTTTAAACAAGTAAAAGAATCTTAAAATCAATCCGAAGAGAAACCTAGAGTGGGTGATTTACTCTCTATGTCTTGTTCTAGTTAAAAGCCTGGCAGCAGACCTCTGAATTAATTGTAGTTTATCAATGGATTGTTTTGAAAGAACAGTGAAGAGAGCATTACAATAGTTCAGGGGTCGGCAACCTGCAGCTCCGGAGCCACATGTGGCTCTTTATCCCCTCTACAATGGCTCCCTGTGGGTTTGCCAAAATACAGAAAATAAATTGATAATAAAATAAAACAGAATATATAAAATAAAATAATATTTAAATAAAATAATATAAAATATATATTTTTTAACATTTCAATTTTCATACATCATTACTTTGGACCTAAAGTGAGTTTACATACACAGATTGTAAAAATGTGTAGCCTATACACTGATAAAAAATTCTTTACATTTTGTCAACTAAAATGTTTGTCATACGTCTACAACCTGATATCTTTTCCTCTAAATTTTGCCGCTCAATGTGGATGACTCACTGGCTAGGCTAACTATTGATTCCAAATCCAAAACTGGAAATCAGAGAACTTAACAGTAAGTGGACAGATTGGTTTGCTGTCACCATTAAAATAGCAAATAATCAGGAGTAGCCCCCTGCAGAGGAGCCACCTTGTGGTAAAAGATATTAATGGATGCTCCTTTGGAGCCATCAGTAGATACAGATAGATACTGTCAGTGTCATTATAAGACAGATTTTTTTTTTTTTTTTTCATTTTTTTGGCCAAAAAGGTTGCTGACTCCTACAGTCTAACCTACTTGAAATAAATGCATTAACAAGTTTTTTGACATTTGTTGATTAGTCCGTGTTTTCCTGTATTTGTCTCTGAGATAACTGTCTCCATTCCAGTACAGCTGCAGTGAATGAAAGTCTGTTTCTCTCAGCATTAACAAAAAACAATAGCAGCATCTCTTTCCTGAAACTGTATCCCTGTGAAACTTCACTGGAACTTCTCTCTACCGTAGAGAAAATTCCCATGAAAACTGTCAATAGTGACATCTGTGGGTTATCCAGGACACACTTTCTGGAAAGACAGGTTCTGATTGAATTTCTGAAAAGTCCGTTTTCAGTGCTGTGAGCACCACAAACATAGGTTCATTTACCCGGTATTGAGGCAGAAATATAAAAAATAAATAGTCTTTTTCCTGCAAAAATATCAAACAATCTCTCATTCTGACTACTTAGCTGATTTTCTCTCTTTTATATCACTGCAGTTGAGTATCTTTGAGTTTATTTTTATTGAGTTTAAATTAGGGATGCACTATATTGGATTTCTTGCCGATGACTGATATACTAATATGTAACAACTCAATTGACCGATAGCCGATACCATTATCGATAAATCCACTTTTTTCCCCACCTAACTTTAGTGATTATCAAGTCTCTTCTGTAGTGGAATTATTATTATATAATATGCATGCATACTCCTATCATGATGGCCCACCAGCAGATAGAGACATGAAATACAATACTTTCATATTTAAAATATTCATTCATCATGCAAAATTAGACAAAGCATTTTGGCTGATTCAGTTCATTTTAAAGCCGATAATGGCCGATACCGATGGCGTCTGGCAAAGTAAAAAACAAATAAGTCTGCACACCAAGTAGCTCTCGTTTAAAAGGACTTTGATGCAGAGTGACGTTTTGAGCCACATGGCTCTTCCTCAGACTTCGGGCTGTGTTGCCCAAAACGTTACTCTGCATAAAAATCCTTCTAAACGCGAGCTACTTGGTGTGCGGACTTATTTGTTTTTTACTTTGGCAGGTGTTTCTTTGGTCCAGCACCCACTCCATTGGACGTTGGAATGTCTGTGTCTTTTGTACTGTCTTTATGCAGATGACGTACCAGTATTATCAGCATGTCGGCTGATTCCAATATTCCATTTTAAAGCTAATATCGTCCGATACCGATGACAGGCCGATGTCATTGTGCATCCCTAGTTTAAATCATTGGTTATCTAAAATAGGACATTTGAGGATATCAGCTTGGACTCAGAGACGCTGCCACAGACTTTCTTCACTATGTTTTGACACCACAAAGCAAAAAGTAATAATCGAGAAAGATTTCTTGATAATGAATATAATTGTTAGTTGCAGCCTGAAAGTATAATATACGACAAATATAAAGTAAAACCAGCATCAGTGCAAGGTTAAGTCCTACAAGAGGTAAGTGAGAAAATATGTTTTTCTGTATTTTTTGTGAATCTGTACACGTGGTTGTAAGCTCTTATTGATGTGATATTGGTGTGTGAGACAGAAAAGAGTCTTGTTCATACATTTATTTGACATGCTTATTATCTGTACTATATGTGTCCCTGACCGCAGTGTTTGGGTTTCAGACAGCCAGCAGCCATTTGTGGAACATCCGGGTATGAGCCCAGATGTGTTGTACATGAAGGAGAAGCAGCCGCTGGTCATCCCCTGCCGGGTCACACACCCTAACATCACCACCACACTCGTCAAGGTCAGTGCAAGAAAAATATGAATGAAATCACAAGCAGACAAGTCTTTTTAATTCACACTTGGTGCAGAGATTCTCTCTGTATCCGGATCTGTACATGTAGTGAGTGTATTGTTCTCTGTACAGTTACACCACTCACATTCTCTGCACATCATCACTTCCCAGTTTGTTCCATCGGAGCTCACATATGAACACAGTGCACCGTCCCGTTGTTTCCCCCTCTCTAGATCATTCGCCACATTGTTCTTATCTTGGCAGCCATTACACGGTGGCGTGTGTGTCCGTTTGTTTGTGTCCATCTGCGGATATGTGTGAAAGTGTGTGCGGATATGGTTGTGAGTGTTGGTGCTTGAGTGCTGAGTGAGGGGGCGAGTGAGACAGTGTTACTAAGTGCAAAGAAGAGCATTGAGAGTGCCTGCTGTCTGCATGCGTGTCAGGATTTTTATGAGTACATGTTGCTTTATGGATGTTATTTGCCTGTGAATGAAACAAAACGACATCCGTCTGCCTGAACCTGCAAGAAAACCTTCCAGTCAGAGATGCCCTTTTCTTTACTGACTCTTTCCGATGGAGCGGCGCCCACGACGTCCTGTTGGCACTGTTTCTACCTCTGGAGACAGGACGTGGGGTCTGGAGTGCCCCTTTGGCCCCTGGCCAGCATGACTTCCCACGTCTCACCCTCCACTTCTTGTAGTAGGAATCCTGGCTGCCAACTTCCCCTGACTGATGCTTTAAACAGCTGGTTTGCGGAGGAAGCAGAGGCAACTACTGTTGGCCCTGACGGATCAAAGTACAGTAGATTGTCTTTAATCACAAGCCCTGACCATTAATATGACGCCTTGTGCGTCACTGTAGGAAGCTTATTGTGGTGTCACTACAATAGAGTTAACTCTCTTCATCAGATATCTACAACAGATATGCTGATATTTGCCAACTCTGACCACGCACTCTTAGAAAATTTGTTGTTCTCCCTTCTGGGCGGAGATACAGATGCCCCAGGGTAAAAAGCAACAAGTTTAAATTTCCTTTGTTGCAAGTGACTGCACTGCTCAGCAGCAATTTATCATGGCTACTAATGCAATGGTTCGATACCTTTATTAATCAGATACATCGGATTAATTGGTTGATCAAAAAAAATGACACAGCAAAACATAAAAATAGCAAAAAATTGCAATGCCACAACAAGCAATCATGCAAAGGCACTGCTGTAAGAATGAATAATAAGCAAATGTAATCATTACCACCAGTTCTAGTATTCTAGTTTTACAGAGTATGGTTTCTCCAAATGGTGTTTCCATACCACATGTTGACTCTGTGGCTACGGCTTCGAAAAAAAAGAACAAAAATGTATTAAAGGGACACTCCAACAATTTAATATTGCACTTCTATGAGGTTAGGGGACTTAGAGGAGACACATGAAAACAGAGCGGTAAAATTGGCCCAGCACCTGGAGATTCCCTAACTTTTAACCCCAAGTATGGTTCAGAAAGTTCAGAAATCCTACACTTCCCATCATACAACTCAAACACATCTCTGCCTGGTGGATGTCCATGTCTCTCGGTCTGTTCACCCCCAGTTTGTACCGCATGCTTTTATTTTCCTGAGGTGGACATGAGCTCAGTCTCATGGCAAGCCATATAACTGTTGTTGAGATATTTCAGTCTTGATCAAAGTGATGGACGGACTGAAAGACTGACACTGCTATGCATAGAGCCACACTGCTAACATGGCTAAAAAGCAAGATGAATGATGCAACAGAAGAACGTGTTGGGAACTTGAGGATTGGGATCCAAGAAGTGTAAACATCCCCCGCATGACATGTTGTACTACTTCTCCAGCGTATGAGTATGATGCTAAAACAGTCATGGCTGGACATCAACATACACATGTTTTTGTGCTGCTTCTATCCTCTCACAAATGCCTGGAAGCACTAAGGTAATTACACTAAAAATAGCTCTCCTCTTCCTTCATCTCCCTCCTCCGACCCTGCGCTGGCCGGTCTGAACCAGGAATCCACTCACTGTCACAGCCCCTGGAGTGTTTTTTCCTGGAGGAATTTTGCACTTTACCCGGATCTCTAATATGACCCTTCTCAGCGGGAACAATACTCAGGAGGCTCTGCTCTCTCACTCTCACTGTGAAAGTGACCAGGAGGTCCTGGAGGTCCGGGATGACGGGGTCGACCTGGGGTTCCAGTCAAAATGTCTATATCCTGTAGTAACAGGATGCGAGCAGATGGACTGGAGTCACGTTTCTCATATCCTGACTCCTCTGGCTCCTTCGCTCCTCCTCCTGTTTCTACACCTTCACCTTTGCATAGCCAGCTCTCCATATAGGTTTAGAGGATGGGGGTAAGAGGGGCAGAAAGGGCACTCAGACAGGGTGTCAGTGAGTTCAGGAGTGGGAAGGATCTACTTTACAGGACCAAGAAAAGAGGAGGAGGAGGAGCTCGGTGGCGTCTGAGAGGGTCGCCTCACCTTGGGAGGGGGGATATCAGCCAGTTCACACTGGGGGTGCAGGAGTGGGGGGAAGTGAGTGGGGGGGGGGGGGGGGGGGGGGGGGGGGGGGGGGGGGGGGGGGGGGGGGGGGGGGGGGGGGGGGGGGGGGGGGGGGGGGGGGGGGGGGGGGTGTCCACCTGTTCCCTTGAGAGTGGGTGGGAGGCTTCCACTGTGTCACAGAAACTCTAGTAAACATTTCCTCGGGGCTGCCTCCAAGAAAACAACAAGGTTACACAGTTACACAAGAGTCCTTGTTGAGGAGGCCAAGAATTATAAAACCAACAGTGTGAGAATACAGGCAGCATCATCTGGGGCTTCTTTTGACAGGTGTTACTCTGTGATTAGCACCTTCTAGATGAGTTTTTTAGGGGAAATGTAACTATCTTACCACTAAGAGTGAAAACAAAAAAACGTAAACCCTGCATTTGAGATCAAGCTTGCACAAAATGCAATCCAATAGCTTCTTTGCATGTGACGTCACACATCAGTGCAGTGATGGAGGGCAGGCAACTGGAGGCAAAGACTACCGCAGTGTAAAATAATGGCTATGATTTGTGCTGTTTATGGTAACTCCATGAATCAAACTGGGGAAAAACCATGGCCATTTTAAGCCACAAAAATAGTGAGGAAGATAAAAAAAGTCATCAAGAAACAACAGCAGATATGGATCAAAAACCTCTGTCTTCAGTCTGGAGTAAACTAATTTAAAACTTTAAAGCATTGTGTTAAACATGCCTCAGACTGGATGCAGAAGCATTGTGTTAAACATGCTTCTGCATCCAGTCTGAGGCATGTTTAACACAATGCTTTAAAACTTTAAAGCATTGTGTTAAACATGCCTCAGACTGGATGCAGAAGCTACTCCGTGTTTTTAGCCATGACCCAGATTTTTAACAGCGTTTCACCAAACCTCTGGGAATGCTTGACCTAACAGGTAGAAAATGGTAGCTTAAGTTATCTATGGTTAACCTGACAACGGTGCATTCATGTAGAGTTGAAATATTAAGACAGTCATACTGTAACACATTTACTCACTCTGCAAAAAACAAGACGTCAGTCATTTCAGTCATGGAGCCAACCACACACAAATTAGTTATAGTCCACTAGGCTTTTATATGCTTTCATCAGTTCATTGTGTAAGGTTAGCAACGTTAAGCGGTCTGGAGGACGAGTTAATTTGCAATGACAGTCGTGTTCACACGGGGCAAATCAGTCATGTTGTGGGAAATATAACGTTTGCCACATTTTGTATGGATCACATCCAACATGAGTTTCAATTTTCTGATAATCCCTGCTGCCTGCATGTTCATCCAACCATTTTATGTAGTCATTTTCCTCAATTTCCAACATGGATTTATCACTTCCTGCCCTCCATCAGAATTTTTTGTGTCATAATATTTAGATGATCGCAAACAAATCCTGTAGCTAAGTGAGCACAATTTTGTTCGGGTCCTAGAGACGCGAATTTTAAAATGAATAAGGTGTAAATAATAAGATTAATGATGGCTTTATTTCATTTAGCTGCTTTAGCTTCTGGTATCAGGGCTGTAGATTTTAGACTGAGCTTGAGTTAGACTTGCTAACGTCCAAACAGCAAGGTTTTGACACTTGACTTGTACTTGACTTTCTCTCTGACAGCAAATCAAATGCAAAAGACACAGACCATTTCCCTCCTGTGTATAATCACAGCTTTAACAGGGTGTTGCACAACATATATGACCACATTCCTTCCTAGTTTTGCAAATTTTAGTGGGTTAAACATCAAGTTAGTCATTGTGATGGATTTCTGTTGCAGTGACTCCGTTGTTCCCTAATTTCTCCCCTTGTATGTGAGATTTCAGCTGCACTCAAGTGGTGACAGTGTGTCATGATTTTGGTACAGTGAAACTTAAATGGGTGTTGTCTTCTCCTCCCACAGTTCCCCAGTCACAGCCTGAGTCCAGACCAGAGGAACATCATCTGGAACAGCAAGCAAGGCTTCACCATCCGAACCCCCACCTTCTACTACATCGGCCTCTTCTACTGCCAGACAATCACTAATGGCATCACACACAAGTCACGTGTATACTTTATACACAGACCAGGTCAGAAGTGCATGAAGTCCTTTTAGATACACAGTAAATCACCCATAAACACGCATGTGTGTGTGTATCATTTCCTACATTTCTTTCTGTCTTGCCACAGTGAGTAACATCATGGAGGTGTATCTGAACAGCAGTGGACCTGTGCAGGCCCTGAAGGGGGAGAGACTGGTCATGAACTGCACCGCCACCGGGGAGTTGAACACCAGAGTGAACATCACCTGGGACTACCCTGGAAAGGTCAGAGCTGCAATAAAGTCTGTGGTGACCTTGTGTAAACCAAAGGAGTACAGGTTTAGATGGCAAATGACCTTTGACAGACACTGAGCAAGAGTGTATAATTCTGTCAGCCTGCAGAGATGAGTTACTTTATTGATCGTCAAAAGAACATGGAAAAAGTACTTCTTTAAAAGTTTATTCGAGCAAAAGCAAAAGGTTGCCATCTTGAAATGTACTATTTCTAGTTTGACTATTTATCATTATTTAAAGGGACAGTTCACTCCCAAATCAAAAATACATTATTTTCCTCTTACCTGTAATGATGTTTATCAGTCTAGATTGTTTTCGTGTGAGTTGCCAAGTGTTGGCAATATCGGCTGTAAATATGTTTGCCTTCTCTCGAATATAATGGAACTAGATGGCACTCGGCTTGTGGTGCTCAAAGTGCCAAAAAATTACATTTGAAAAACTCAACAGCAATGTCTCTTTCCAGAAATTATGACCTGGTTATCCTCAAGATAATCCACAGACCTTGTTGTGAGCAGATTCATGTAGGGACTATTTTGTCTCTGTTGAACTAAAACTGCCAACCGAACAGAAGAAAGCGCATCCTCTAATAGCATCCTCCTTGGCTGAGCTTAGCTACTACAATGGTGCTAGGTGAGCTAGCAGTAGATGCTCACTTCCTTCTGCTCAGTTGGCAGGTGTATGTTTGGTAGACAGGAACTAGTTCCTACAGAAACAACAAGGTCTGTGGATTATCTTGAGTAACCAGGCAGTGATTTCTGCAAAGAGACATTGCTGTTGAGCTTTTTAAATATATATTTTTTTGCACTTTGAGCACCACAAGCTGAGTGCCATCTAGTTTTATCATACTGGAGAGAAGGCAGACATCTCTACGGCTGATATCTCCAACACTCGCCAACTCACACCAAAACAATCTAGATAAATGAATATCACTACAGGTAAAAGGGAAAAAGATTTTGATTTTGGGGTGAAATGTGCCTTTAATAAATCATTTATTAAAGCTTTATACAGTTGTGAGTGGCCACTTGTAAAGACAAGGTTTTGGTTTTCAGGTTGTAAAAGAATATTACTGGACAGTTTGACGACATGCTACAGAGCAACTATTGCTAAGATTTTAACATTTACAATTCTGGATTACCCACTCTAACAGAACAATAGTCATTCATTAATACTCACTGTCTAATAATAACACCAAATGTGGAGTTGTAAATTGTTGGATTTAAACTGGTGTTGGTTTAGATGCTCTGTGGACTTTTATTCTTTGCATTTTTAATCTTTTTTTGTGGTAGCTGACAGTGGAGACAGACAGGAAATGTGTGGTCAGAGTGAGTGGGTGGCATGCAACAAACATCACAGAGTGAAATCAAACCAAATATATTGAGATTAAATGGTCAGCACTACTGAGAATCCTTGAATTAAAAAGTTAAACAAAAGCTGGTTTTAGTCATGTCAGATGAGAATTTACACCAGCCAAGGGGATTTTGTCCTCATGAATGCCCTATTACTGATCTATACAATTAATTAATCACTTACTGACCATTAATAAAGCATTTAATTACACCGTCTGTAAAGTTTGCTTCATCAGGAAATGGTTTCTACACCCCTTAAGTAAATACAAAAGTAAAAGCAAAAGCAAAAGCAAAAGTAAAAGCAAAAGCAAAAGCAAAAGCAAAACAAAACAAAAACAGGATAAACAAAAAAATAACAACTTTAATATCTCAGTAATACAGTCAAGAGATAGCCTACTGCACTGTGGGTTATAAAAAATAAGATCTCAAGGACACACAGGTGAGCCTTCAGTGTTAATGCTGAGGCTCTGTCTTCCTCTCCACCTTCAGATTAACAACACCGGCTCCACCTACAAGAGGCTCCTGAAACACAGAACGCACATGCTGTTCTACAACATTCTGACCATCCCGAAGCTCCAGCGTTCAGACCGAGGCCTCTACACGTGCCGTGTGACCAGCGGGGAAAACACCAAACAGCAGCAAGTCACTGTTACTGTGTATGGTGGGTGTCTTCCTCTGACACTCCCTGACACTGACATGGAGATATATCATCTGATTACTCACTGATATTTTTAAAATTACAGTGAATTTCATTCCAGTAGTGGTCAACTTATCTTTTTTTGACAGACTGAGTCACTGTTGAGGGTGGTGGAAAAATGCCCCAATTCTATTTCGTAATCTTACACAAATATGTGCATGTGTCTCCTTATTTTAGACCGTCCGTTTATTCGCCTGAAGCCCAGGCATGAATCTGTGATGGAGGTACAGGCAGGACAGAAATCTTACAGAATCTCTCCCAAACTGCGAGCGTACCCTGCACCTGAAGTCATCTGGTAAGAGGTCACCTTGATTCCTAAAATCACACCATTTTTTGCCTCCCTTTTTTTTGTATCTCAATCTGTGGCATACTTCCTCAACACCATTTCCTTCGAAAGTTCATGAGAAGCATTGCTCATCATATTTAGTCATCAAAAAGTAATTCTGTAATTTCAATTTTAGACTTCCAAATAACTTTCCTCTTTAAAACTTTGGCACACAGTCCCTCAACCTTTGCTGAGCTCTTTATTTTTCTGTCAGGTTGAAGGATGGCAAGGTGGCAGCAGAGCAGTGCTCCAGATACCACATGGATGGGAGTTCCCTGGTGATACGGGATGTGGCAGAGGAGGATGCTGGGAAGTACACCATCCTGGTACGAAACCAGGAACATGGACTCTTCCAGAATCTAACGCTCACACTTGTGGTCAATGGTGAGAAATTGAATTATTCACCCACCAACCACCTTTAGCACTGCCTTAGACTTCGCTCAGTGTTTAAACTTGTGTTTGTCTCTTGTCTGACAGTGAGTCCTCAGATAGGGGAGAAAGCGGTGTCGTTGCAGGACCCGGGCTCAGTGCCACGGGGGAGCAGACAAGCCCTTCACTGCACGTCCCACGGAGTCCCTCCCCCGCATATCCAGTGGCTTTGGCATCCCTGCCCGTCCAAAGGCCTGTAAGTAGCCATTAGAACAGTGGTTCCCAACTGGACTAACCACAGTGTCCAGATTTCTCCTTAGTCATTAATTTAAGGTCCACATAGTTTAATATATTCAGCGTCATACTTACATTTGGTGACCTTGTTGAGCTAGTTTGCTGTCCCTGTCAAGTAGCTGTCATTTCATCACTCACTCTACAGCAGGAAACAGCACTTCAAAATAAAGGCTCTTTGCCGGGAATTCACCATACTTTAAAAAAGTGTTTTTTACAAATTTGACATGTTTTCGAGTCACTTCAGTCCATTCAGAATGGACCTGCAACGCACTTTTGGACCGCAGCCCTCCAGTTGGTAACCACTGCTTTAGAAGACTTAATCTAGCCCAGTGTGCACATTAAAATCTCACCAGTAAACCACTGGAAAATGGCTCTTAATTTTAACCAACTTGAGGGAGCAGTGTGTAAGATTTAGGGGGATTTAGTGGCATCAAGCAGTGACAATCGCAGATTGCATCCAGCTGAAACTTCTCCCGGTTAGAATTCATCGTTCAGGAGGTTTTTATTGGGAGCTGAATTATCCGCAGAGGTCTCTTCTGCTCCGAAACAATCAGACCAAGCGATTTAAACCAGTAAAAACACTGAATAAAGCAGTTTCAAGCTACAATTCAATGTTTCTCCTACGCTGTTTGGCACATCACAGACAGGCCGCCAGCCTAGCACCTGATAATGTGTGCTCACCTTTTTTTTCTAATAACATAAGATCCAGACATTCTGTAGGTTTTTACAGGGAGCCAAATTCTCTGCAGAGGTCTCATCCTTTCCAAAATATACAGACCTGGTGATTTAAAACACTGAATAAAGCAGTTTGATGTAAGTGTTTTCCCAACATTGCTTGTCGCAGAGGAGCTAACTATGGTGGCCGACGCAAAAATGCGAATGACACTATCTAGAGCCAGTGTTTGGTTTGTCTGTTCTGGGCTACTGTAGAAACATGGCAGACTCTGTGGACGAGGACCTGCTCCCTGTGTAGATATAAAAGTCTCATTTTAAAATAATTAAAACACAGTGGTTTTTATTTTCAGGTGATTATACACTAAAGAAAATTTCCCGAGTATATTATATTCCATTCTGTCGTTATGTCCCCCTGAATCCTACACACTGGACTGTTAATATGTTAGAAACAATTAAAAGGTTAAAAAAAAAATTATATACAAATAGTCAAATCCATCTAATGACACATTTTGGCTGTTTATAGTTAGTATGCGTTTTAACTTACTATATTTTGTGTAGGTTTTGGCTGCATAGGCGAAGAATAATATTAATGCCACAATGTTACAAACATGGAGCAAAAAAAAATTATGTATTGTTTGTTTTATGTTGTTATTTGGTGTGTGTGTGTGTGTGTGTGTGTGTGTGTGATATTGAAAAACGAGACATGTTTTGTCTATTTCAGCATGTGTTCAGACAGCGTTTCCTTCTTGTAACCAGAACAGATGCCTTTGGGGGCCTTTCATGTGCGGGAATGTGTGAAAATGTGTGTGTGTTTATTCATGTGTGTGTGTGTGTGCGCACTCACATACATGTGTGTGTGTGTCTCATCATGTATGTGTTTGTATGTTTGCTTGCTTGTGCAACTCTTTCTCCATATGTTTGTTCTTTTACTGTCCGCTCTTCCTTTTTCATGTTTGTTTAAATGTATACAAATGCATAGCCTGTGTCTGTGTGTGTGTGTCAGAATGTGTGTGTGTGTGTGTGTGTGTGTGTGTGTGTGTGTGTGTTTGTGTGTGTGTGTGTGTGTATGTGTGTGCCTGGTACATTCACAGACACCGTACACAGTGTATCTCAGACTTGAAAGGACAGAGAAAAAAAAAACACACTTCAATAGAAGCCAGTTCCGTGCTCTCAGTCACGATTTGTTGGTTTCCAAATCAAACGCTATGATTTAATGAATTTCCTGTCCAGGACGCAGGGTAAGAGGCCTGTTTATTATTGTGATTGCACACCACATCCTGTGATGCCTTTTCTTATATCTGACACACACACTATATATAAAGTTCTCATGAGAAATGGCCCAACCCAGTGATGCCGAGGGACAGTCATTTAGTCAACACACACGAGTGCTCAAGCAGGGGCTTGGCAGAAACATTGATTGAGTTGTTCTTGGAGGCCAGACACTTATTGTGTTTCTTATGACCAAGTCAGAGAGGTTAAGTATTACCTGAGCGCACCACAGCAGCCGCCCATACTCTATTCCCCCTCTGAGACACACTGACATCATCAGCGTACTTGAACCTTAACACCGGCACTCTCACATGGCGCCATGCCGAGGTGCCTCCAGGGTGGTTTCAACCGTCTGTGTCTGCCAAATGTAATCTACATAATGTACATGAACATCTCTGAGACCAGCTGGTGATGCTCAAGTATCTGATATTCATTGAGTGAAGCTAGGTAGTGATGTGAACTCTTTTTGTCCTGCAAAAAAATGTAAACTTTACCCAGAGAATCTGTTGAATTTAGATTTTTTTAACTGAAAACTATTACTGAAATTTTGCCCCTGTTGTAGCTCATGGTTGTATCATAGTGTAGACGCACAGTGTGTATGAGAGCAGATTTTATCTTGTTTCATCATGATGAGAGTCACATGCAATCTGCACATTAAATTTTGCCAATTATTGTATGCCTGAAAATTAGATTTTAATCAATTCTGAGTCAAATTTCAAATTTAAGTCAATTTAAAATTTGTTTTAGTTTGTAAGTAATGACACAGTTTGGCCTGAAAGAAAACAAACATGCACTAAAAGCAGTCACAACAAAACAGTAGAGAAGCTTCATAAAGGAGCTTAACTGTAATTGCACATTAATGTTTCTGCAGATTACATTTGGCCTCTCCACTGACTGATTTATGGTCCTTTGTAAAGCTCTGTTCTGGTTCTGGTTCTGCTTTAGTGTCTGAGTGTGTTTCTTTAGTTAGTTTTTGGCTGGATCCTCACCAGGCCCTTGTTCTTTGCAGCCCGGCTGCACCACAAGCCTGACGCCGCGCTGGAGGAGGCCCATGGACAGTGGACCAGGCTGGGCCAGGCTGATGGGGGGCCTCGCGCCTGGGTCCTGGGTCCACTCCTGGGTCTGGCCCTGGGAACTGCAGCGCTCTTATCTGGCCCGGGCAGGAGGCGCACTGGGCTTCCTGTGCGAAAATCAGAGCGCTTTTCCTCTCGTTGTTTGGCTTCCTCTCCGACGCGAGACGCTTCCCAGCAGCGTGATTGTCCCTTCGTCTTCAAACGTGGCACAGTCCGCTTCCTCAAGAGCTTGATCTATTCTTGAGAGCCCCCCCTCCCCACCCCTGAGCACCTCTTCCCCCAGCTCTGCTGCCCCCCACACATACCTTTCCAACCCCTTCCCTCACCAAGCTCTGCCCTCCACCCCAAACGAGCTTCAAGAACAACTCCCCATCGCCTCCCACCCTGGAGCCCATCCCCTCCACCACCACCTCCACACACTCATCAGTGCTTGTCCACAGCAGCCAGAACCCACAGTGACATTATCAATGATCCCATGTGATGATCCTGCACTTAATAAAAGTGGAAAAGGAGGAAAGTGACTTGGAACACTGCTGAGCAGTGAAGACCAGGAGACACAGGAGAAACAAGGAGGAAAACAAGCCACATCACTAAGGATATAAGGACACCCGCTTTACTGATTATTTATTTATTTCCTTCATTTTCCCAATTTAAGTCCCCCCCTCACACCCAGCCATTCTGTAGTTTTATGCTTTTTACATTTCACAGACATTTTGAGCCAGAAGAAGTGCAATTCCATTCATCCATCAGCCACATTTCTGGAGCTGCTTTGCTTATATTTTGTGTCCTAGAGTGGTACTATATTGGGTGCATGAACCGTGCCTGTCCCAAGCCCTGATCTGATTCTGACATCCACAAAAGCTGTGAGTTTCTGTTCCGATTTTTTTAGCCACTGGTAGAAGGTCCACTGTGCTCACCTTGGACGGGCAAAACAGGAGAGAGGACAAGCTTTGTGTTGTTCACTATGGGATGCCTACAGTTCTCTATTAAAAAGACTGACGGTCAGCAGACGCCTACCATGTAGGAAGTCTCCACAGACCAGAGACTATAACTGCCCTCTGTCACATTGTGTCGTCCAATGTCATCCCATGTCAAAATGTCTTGTGTGTCGAATGATGTCAGCATAACAGCCCTGTTGTCTTTGTATTGAAAGTTAATTAAAATCTAAATGTATGAGTGCCATAAGTATTTCAGTAAAGTCCGTTTCTGTGTGTGTGTAAAGCAAGTGTGAGTGAACGTATCTGTGCAGCAATGTCAGTGTGTGTGTGTGTGTGTCCTATTCTACGGGTTTCTCCCAATGTGATTCATTCCTTGTATACAGATGTTCTATGAGTAATATATGAATCTAATATTTAATAATTTTATACAACTAACTTACGTATGACAAATGACAATATTTGCCAACTTTGTATGAATCTGTATTGAAGTGTTATATCAATTGTTTGTGTTTTTGCATTAAACTTTGCTTATATTTGTGTATTGGTTTATACTGCTCTGTGGTTATTTCAAGGTTGACACAGGAACGGACAGAGACAGTTGTAAAAGTGTATTTTAGGCAGTGAAACAAGACAGGAAGAAAAAGGCAGGAGATGGCCCCCACTGATACACAATTCATTCATATTTCCAGGCCGCTGCTGCTCACCCTGTTCGCAGGCACACACTGTGTGAATGTGTCTGACTGTGTGTGTGTGTGTGTCCGTTTGCTGTTTCTAACCACATTTATGTCTCCACATCCATCTGACTAATCATATTTGTGTGTGTGAGTGCAAGTCTGATTGAGAAAGCTTTTCCTGGGAAGCGTGGGAGTGTTAGCTGGTGTAATCTGTGCCTGTGTGATGGTCTTGTGTGTGTGTGAGAGTATGTTTGAGCGTGTGTGTCAGGCCCGTGGTGTCATGCACAGGGTGGGTCATTTGTGCAGTCGCACACTAGATGCCAAGAGGAAGAGCAATCAGGGAGCAGAGAGGAACCAACCTCAGGGAGGAGCTCAGGACAGACAGAAAAGGATACAGTCAGAGACAGGGAGTAGAGGGGCAGAGGATCAGCGAACAGAGTGGAAGTGACAGTTTACAGGGAGGATGATGGGTAATGGCTAAATAAAGGCACTGCATTCTTTTGATTATGAAATCTGTCTGAGATAGATAGATAGATAGATAGGAATGGAATAGAAAAATAATCATGATAATAGGTATATGTACAAGTATATACTTCAGTTGTTGCCTAATAACCTTGGTGAATTTTGAAAACGTTTTTCTTTCCGTGCAGAAGTTGTAGGGGGATATATTTGTGACACGCAAGTTCACTTTCACTCAACAACAGGGGAACTTCAATAACACTTTCCCTGGACTGTTCGGACCCTTTACACAAAGAAACAGCAAGTTGTTGGCATACCTAAATTTTGTAATTGTCATTTTTGCAATTACAAATGCAACAACTTCAATATTTACACGTAAAAAAACAATACCTCAGGGTATGTTTGCACTGCTAAGCTACCTATAACAATAAAACACAAGGTTTGTACGCCTTACCAGGCTAGCATGTGCACAGGAGTGTCTACAGATTTCGCCTGGGTCCTAGCGTCCCCCTGCAACATTTTCTTCTAGACTTCATTTTTTTCTGGGCTACAAAATGTATCCCGTCTCTATAATGCACAGATGATGCCCTTCAGATGCACCTTCATTTTGTATAAACTTCAGATCGTCCCTAATAACCTTGTTGAATATGGAGAGGTTTCTTTTTTGTAGCAAAAGTTATAAGGGGATACACATTCCTTTAGACTGTGTTTTCAGTCTCCGCCCTTCTACTTGTATTCAATCGGCCTATTTCATTTTGTATAGACTTCATGTTACGCCTAATAACCTTGGTGAATATATCTTTTTTTCCTGGCAAAGGTTATAGAAAAATACACATTTTTCAGACTTTATTTTGAGTCTGCCAAAAAATGCATGTCCTCTTGATAATGCAATGCCCTACTATGGAGTATTTTATTTTGTACAGACTTCAGATCAAGCCTAATAACCGTGGTGTGTGTGGGGAAGTTTCTTCTTTCCTAACAAAAGTTAGAGGGGAATACACATCTTTCGTTCTGCCAAAAATCCCCTCCCTATAATGCACATATAATGCTGCACCATCAAGTGTTTTACTTTGTAAATACTTCAGATTATGCCTGATAACTTTGGTGCATATGGAGAAGTTACTATTTTCCTTGCAAAGGTTACATTAGTATCCTTTCAGACTGTATTTTCAGTCTGCCACAGAATCTATTCATAGCATAGATGCCCTCGAGTATTTCATTTTTACATATACCAAAGATCATGTCTAACAATCTCGGTGAATGTGAAGAAGTTTTTTCTTTCCTAGAAAAAGGTAAAGGGGGATACAGGTTCCATATTTCATGTTATGATACTTCAGATCATGCCTAACACCCTTGTTGAATATGGAGAAGGTTGTGTGTTTTCATTCTGCCAAAAATGTATCTCCTCTCTATGATGCACAAATGACATACAATCAAGTGCTTTATTTTGTATACACTTCAGATCATTCCTAATAATGATGGTGAATGTGAAGAAGTTCCTTCTTTCCTAGCAAAAGATATAGGGTGATACACATTCTTTCAGACTGCATTTTCAGTCTACCATAAAATATATCCCCCATCCACAATGCACTGTCTGTGCCATCAAGTGTTTTACTTTGTATATACTTCAGGTTATGACTAATAACCTTGGTAAATATGGAGAAGTTTCTTCATTCCTAGCAAAAGTTATAGGGGAATACCTTTTATTAATAAGCCCATTTACTTTATTGTAGATGGAACTTACCACATGTTCCTTACTTTACATTTATCGTCATATTTGATATGAACAAACATTTCAACATTACTTATATAATACTGTTGCAAGACAGAGATTTAGATGAAATATACACCTTTTCCTTCAACTCTGAAACTAACTGATCAAGCATTGTGTGTTTAAGGCCCCTCCTCAGCTCCTATATGATTTCAGAGTTTCTCATCACAAGGAGATGTGCATATATAAACCACAAAGCCAGCTGTATAAGCTCCTGTTCCCATACCTCCACCAGTGCGTAATCTATGGATTTAGACTTGTGAGACTCATTGAGAGGGACAGGAACTCCTGTCCTGGAAATGTGGGATGATTTGTAAAGAATGGAAGGAAGTTGATCCCTGGGATTACAATACCACCTCTGCATCCTCCATGGATGAACAATCCAGTATTACATAGCACTCCAAAGATCCACCATTGTCAGCATGTAGGACAGGGTGAGAGGACGTGATGCTATTGACAAAAAATTGTTTGGTGATGATGATTATGTGAAGGAGGGTGAGGATAACATTAAGCAGCGATGATCAAGGAGTTTCCCTGATGTTCTGGTCTTCCTCCTGCCGAGCGCAGCTGAGAAAAACACCCACACACCTGGAGGCAGCATAAAATGACTTGTGTCAACACAGCTGAGTCTCTGTCCCTATCCTCCTCCTCTTCCTCCTCCTCCTACTCTTCCGTCTTCAAGGTGTGTGTGTCCAGCATCTTCCTCGCTATGGAGCCCTGTGACCGAGAGAGTCCCCGCCACTTCCACAAGCAACCACATCCTGAGTATTACGCACAGGCAGGAAGTGCTTCAAGGGAAGCAAAAGGTAGGTGACAGAGGAGGCCTGTTGGGTTAGAAACAGGATTTTTACTTAGTGTCGAAAATTGGGTTTAAAACACAAAAATACACCCTTAACTGCAATTAATAACGGATGCTTTGATGGAAATTAATCAAAAAAATCTGAGTAGAAACTGAATCATATGCTGCAACATCCAAAATAAAACACATCCGAAAACTTTCTTTTGCTCAAAAGTGAGTAATACTGGGAACATTTTGCAGTTCTTCTTTTACTGCCCTTCTTCGCTCCCTTCTCTCCTCCACACACACACATTCACAGACATGCACCTTTATTAACACTAATCGACGGCTTGCGTGTTGAGTTGCCCACTGAGTTGGAAGTGGGCAGGAGGTCTGGCTCAGAGACCCCTATTGTCTACTAAGTGGGCCCATGGAAAATATGATTCCTGCCATCAGTGGCAGAGGTAATGAGCTCGAACCTTAAATGTGCCGGTTTGCTCATGCGGATGTTTGTGCTCTCCACAGACAGTGGGGGTCCTGACTGTGGCAGAGGCCTTTGTGTCCGGAGTGTATTGCTGCGTCGCCTCAAACTCTGCAGGCACAGACCAGCTCAACATCCACTTCTACGTCACAGGTGAGGAATCACTGAATCATCTCCTCATATATACAACTTGTGGGCGTTTGCGTGTTTTCCCAACATCTGGAAATGTTTTTTTTTTCATAGCTTAAAAATTATATAACAGTAAGTATCTGTTCCCTCACCTCCTCCCTTTCACTTCCTAGAATTTTATTTTTAAATAATTAGTTTCTGTCTTCTTCCTGTCATCTGCTTGCTTCTCTCATGTTACTCCCTCTTCAGTTTCAACATGAAACTCGGCCATATCAGCTGATCCACTTGATGCTTTCTCACTATTGGATTGGTAAATCATTTTTGTACTGATATTGTGTCCAAAATAATAAGTGAAGATGGGACATAATAATAAAATGATCTTAATTCTTCTGTTTGGTCAGGATTAGGGGAGATTAGGGTAAAATGAATCAGTTTCTCTGTGTCAGTTTTGGACGTTCAGGGGCAGCGTGTCAATTTACGCTTGTTACATGCATTGTCTCTTTTCAAATTACACTTCAATTTTTTCTACAGAAAATGTACAGTTTCTCTTGTTAAATGTATACACTCTTTTTCAACATGAACTTAGAACATATAAAAACAGGTTTAGGCAACAAAGCATGTGGTTAGGTTAAAAAACCCCATAATGGTTTGGCTTAAAGTAACTACATATGTTACTAATGGCATGTCACATCAGGTGATATATGTCACGTACACAAGCCACTAGCATAGTATGCTACACATACTAGCACACTATGTCACTATTAAAATAACTCGACTGACTTTTGGTTTCACACGGGATATGAACAACTAGCTCTTAGATGAAAGTCCAGAGTGTGTTTGACCAATCTACCTCCCTTCCTCCTACACTATGCAGACTTTTGCACTCTTTTTACTATGGTAGTTGCCCAAAGTGTCAACAAATGCCGTTGCCCTGGGCGGATCAACACAGGGTGCCTGTGTCTGACAGTGTCTGGCACCATCGGGCCACTGACCAATAGTAGGTATTTGATGAGTTTGGAGAAACACCAAGTCTGTTTTTATTTGAGGTGTCTTTAAAGTGAGGGCATGACTGTAATGTCTCCAACTAAAATATATACATATATTTTAGGACGTGGTACATCTCTGGGAATGATGACTTTGATAGTTTTTTGTATGATGTTCCCAAAAAGTTGTGTCCTGGCTCGACTTGCCCCCATGAGGGTTGAATGAAGCTTGGGGGAGGATAAGTTGAGCCACATGGGGGTAAATCTTATACACTGTTCCTTTTACCTCTCTGTTCTTTCATTTCCTGTGTTCTCTTTAAGTCATCCTGTTGATCTTCACATCCCTCACCACCTGATTTATGAACTTCCCATTCTGTACATCTCCATGCATACGATGTGATGTGATAATAATCCCACATCGTGGAAAAATCACACCCTACAGCAACTCAAGAGTCAGAAGCAACAGAAAAAAAAGAAAAAAGTAACTGACTGCTGAACATGGATAGAAATATGACAAAAATACAAATATAGGAGCGTGGAATGATGGTGTTTGGTCTAAAATTCAAAATGTCAAATCATTTCAGTCACAAAATATGGCTCAACGTCCCCCAGGCCTTTTACCTGAAATTACCCCACCCACACCATTTTTACAAACTTGTGTCATCTAGCAGTTTAGAGCTAACGTCATGGCCTCATATTGTATCTTCCTAAAGCACAGACTCAGGCTGTCTCTATAATGTATAAGTAAAAACTGCGAGGTGAAGAGAAAAGTAAACTGCTGAGAGAAAATGAGGCAATGAGCAGGAGGGGAGAACAGAAGATGGGCAGGGATAGAATATTGAGTATGCAGGTTGTGGAAGTTTACTGTGTATGGAGTCATTACTGATGGTAAGGTCATTCCACCATTAATGAGACAGGTGACGCAATGTCAGAGACATGCAAAAGAGACACTGCAATAAGGTCGCTGCTCTGCTGTGGAGAGAGCGTGATGCTCCAGAGCAACAAACTCAAACTGATCTGGAATGATACAGCAGCTTCCTTATCCATCAATAGGTCACAATTCAAAGCTGCTCAGTTGGTTTTATATTGAAGAAATGTCACTTTTCACAATTAAATCTGCTTAAGAGTATTTAGAAATTAAATTATTCCAAATTTCTGTCTACAAATTTGAACATTTTTCATGGAAACCTGAAATAGGGTACCAGGTACAAGACCTCGAATAGGTATGTTACACACTGGGAACTAAACAGTTCTTAAGCACTACACACATTAACATAGGTTGAAGCCCTTGGCAGGACAAAGTAGCGTACGTGCACTGGGTACATACAGTTTTGTTTTTTGTGCGTGTGATGTGAGGTCAGATTTGTTACCAGGCATACAGGTAAAGGTTTTTTAGTGACTGTTTGCGTGCATGAGTGTGTGTCAGTGCATAAGGTTGTGCCGAGCTATTAGTGTATTAGCAAGAGCGAAACAGGAACCTGGGGCTCTTATCGTTCCACTTCCCTGTGCAGTGCACTTCCTTGGACTGGCAGGTCCGCTTTATTTCGGGAGGCCTTGGGGTGTTCGGGAAAGATAAACACTATCTGCCATCAGGAAACTCTCGAGCCGTTTCCACAGGAAGTTTCAAATGGCTTAAGTAAATAAAAAGCCTTTTCACTGTATTCCACTAGCTGCTTTTACCCACAATAGCCATTCAACATTGTCAAAGGTTAAAAAAATGGAGGATCAGTCGAATGAGCTCTCCTGGTTTCAGGCACCAGACAGGATCCACATTCGCATGTGGAGAAACTGAGAGGGCTCATTCATTCATTAGGAGATCAGTGGAGGTTTGTATTTCGTTCATGTTCCCTCTTCCTCACCTCTTCTTCTCCATCAATCCATCTCTGCGTCCCTCAGACGTCCCGGGGGGCTTCAGTGTGAGCCAGAGGGATGAACCTAGAGAGGGTGGAGACCTGCATCTCACCTGCGAGGCCAATAAGTACCTGTTCACAGCGCTGTCATGGCAACGGGTGAATGACACAGAGGACGGCCAATCCCGCAGCCTTGCCCTGAGCAGTCAGCAGCTCACATCGGGGGAGTTTTCCAATGCTCTGATCCTGTTGCTAAGCAACCTGACAGCCAGAGACTCTGGAGCCTACAGATGCTCCGCCCGCCACCTGATCACCGGACAGGAGACACACCAGGATGCACAGGTGGTGGTCACAAGTGAGTAGATCTCCCCTTTATCTTCCTCCTCAACATCCATGAGCCTAAAGGTAGCACTGTGGGTTTTGGGGGACACTTTCAAAGAAATTAATAATTTTACTTTGCCACTTTTTATAAACAGTAGTCCTTTAATTTGTTTGAAGCATTTTTGGATTGTGTTTTTTGCTTTTTTTTTTTTTAGATCGTGCTACAAAAAATAAATTATTAAGTACATAAAGATTTCTTCATGTAGCACTTTTAAAAACTAAAGTTAAAAGGTGCTTCACAATAAAAGCATTTAGCAACAAATAGAAAAATAACAATGACAGCGAAACAATAAATGGAAAGCAACAATGTATGGAAGCACATAAGGGCCATTATTATTAGGATTATCTTTATTGTTAATATTCTATTTTTTATTACCATTAAACTTCAATTAAATCACTGAAATCAACAGGCTTTTTTGGGACAGGCCTTTAATTCCTTTCACACATGTTACTTTACTACAGTTATGAATCATTCATGTGATCTCGCTCTGACAGACAGCACATCAGAGGAAGAGTGACGTATGGCACTCAGGGATTACAGCACCTGGCATGCCGACATAATACCACTTTATCCTTTTAAAACAATATTCACAACTTGGATTCATTTTTATGAAAAGCCCTTTTGATTCTTTTGATCTGAGGATCCTTATGGGCGAAAGGAATATGAATAATTTGCAGGGTAATCAAGGAATGGACACATAATTTGGTAGCCAACAACCCGGTTTTAAACATCCGAAGAACTTCAACAAAAAAAAAAAAAAAAAAAGAAGAAGAAGAAGAAAAAAACTGCCTGGCAACCAGACCAGGCCTCTAATTAAGACAGGCCTTTATTTGTCAAAATGTGAAGCCACATCGGGCTACTAACATTGACTGGGCATTTAATTGGGACTAGGCTTTTAAGTGACGTTTTATGGTACTATTAAGCAAGTGAATATATAACTAATATTTAACCACTGCTGTATACTTCAAATTAAATTCAAATATCACTGAATTATAAATTAAATGTTTAAACCATTCCTCTTATTTTATTCATGGTTTAAATCCCTTACAATTTGAATTTTCAGTCTAAAAATCCTGTTTTTTCCCCTTAAGTTCACAGATTGCGTTAGAAAAATTTAAGTGTCTATTGGTTCCCAGTTGCCCATCTGAAATTTTTTCTTTTCAGATCACATGACTGACAGATTGTAGCCTGAGAGGTTCATCTGATCACTCCTTGGTAGGCCAGATTTTCATGTTAGATTCATCATCTTGAATTTTGGCTTGTGAACGTTACAAATCCAATTTTAGTAATTTTTAAAATTGACTCTCATTTTTAAATCCAACCAACTTAATTTGAGTAACTTAAATAAATATATCTTTTGGCTATTTTTTATTTTGTATCTGACTTTAAATCGAAATATTTCAATGCTATAAATTCAGTGCTATTTAAATTTTAACATAGGTATGAGATGCTTGTAAATTTCAAATCATTTCAGCCTTTCTTTGCTTCCATACAAATCATGGTATGCAAGAACTGAAAACTCCTCTTGGACTGAAATTGTCAGCAGTCCCAGTCAGAGCTGAACAAGTGCCCTCAAATAAACCAGAGATTAATTTCTATTGTCTTGGGCCCCCAAGTAAGATATTAAGGCCTTTGATTTGTAGCTGAAACTTGATTTTCTTGAGTACTAATTTTGATTCTTAACACAGATCAAAGTCACTCTCTCTATACATTTAAAACTCACAGCCTCCTCGTGTGCTCTGTGCACATATGTTGCACATACATACATACAAACAAACACCCTCTCTCACAGAGTTTGGCTGCTTGGGAATTGGGTCCCCTCAGCTTCCTGGGGCCCCACCCTGCCTTTGCTCTTGCGCTCCAGCTCAGCACCTCTTTCACGTGGGAATGAGCTCTTGTCTGGAGGAAGAGCACACAATGGCACTTCCCACAATGCCACATTTACAGGCCCCCACACAGGGCCGCAGGAACAATCAGCCAATCAGACACTGTCAGGCCCCAGCCCCCGCAGACAATCATCAATTGTTGTCCAGGAGGAAGATAGGGGAAACAACAATCAGTCGCCTTGGTTAAGTGACTTTTCTTCATGTCTTTTACTGCTGTTCTCTATACAATCAGGGCCCAACACGTCAACTTCCTCCCTTGGGACACACACAAGGGAATTACTAGAGAGACAGGGCGACCAGAGAGAGAGAAGCTGGGGAGCCAAAAAGAGGGAGAATGGAGAAAAAACTAAAAAAACTTGGGGTTAGAGAGACTCAGGGAGCAATGTGGTCTAATTATAGTGCGTGCATATCGTAGTGCATGAGAACGAATCTTAAAAAAACTGCTTTCAGCTCATTGTGTTTACTCTTGGGCCCAAAACTGTCCACATGATGAAATACTACATTGTTGTTGCTTTTTAGAAACGTTTGTACTGCAGGGTATTTCAGGGTGAGTAAGGGGCCCAAGAGAAGCCAAACGTCAGCTGACTCACAGGTTGAAGCCAAGGCCGCTCTTCTGGAAAAATGTGTCACAGCCACTGCACGATTATTGTCCAAATGTGGCACTGGTCCAGAAAACAGTGGGAAAAAATAGCACTGCTTTCACTTCATCACAAATCTGCTTCAGTCTATAAATAACTGCGACTGTAATCGGTTACTGCAAGTTTAAAGTATCAAAAATCCTCATTATAGAGAATTATTACTTATACTTACTTATTATTACTAATAAATATGTATTAGTGTGTAAACTGCATTTTAGTTTGTCAAAGTGGATCTAGTTTTAACTAATTTATATACATTGTGGAGTCAGATAAAATGCATTGTCTTTAGAGAAGTATTCACTGGTGGACTAGTGATGGTCTTTTCATAAGACTGTGCAGTAGACGGGCGCAGATACTTTTGAAATCGGTGCTACGTGACCAAAGAAGACAGAGGGGAAAAAGACTGTAGCATTTGCTTTTGCTCAAGAGATAGGAAGCCTACAGCTACCAGAAAGCACTGCACCACAACAGACCAATAAACACTCCTGCCACTGTACTACATATGCTGCATTCAAATGGCACTCGTGAGCTCTTGTTTACGACACGGGAAGCCATGTACACGAAACCGTGAACTCGAAACTTATGAGGTTGTTAACAAGAGGTAGGCATTCATATGGTTTCTTCTCATGAACAAGGTAAAAACGCATCAGTAATGCAAGCTTGGCCGTTTTGACACAGGGAACTGTGAGGTGGCTAGCTGGTCACTAATAATCTAAAGTTACAGTTAAAGAGTAAGCTGTTTCTGAGCAGTGTTATGTGTTATGTGTGTACAAATGTGAATACAAACAGTTCAGGTGAGAAACAGGCAACACAGTACCTGAATCTTGGTTTATATTTGATAAGCACTGCTTGTCTTATCTTCATCCTCAGTTTTTACAATACAGGAAACAGTAATGCACCCACTTCCTGTTTACGCATTTTTGTATTACAGCCAAACAGTCCACTAAAATATGTTTCTGAAGATGTTTTAGGTGAGAAATAGGCAGTGCAGTAACAAAATCTTGGTTTATTTGATCAGCACTGCCTCGTTCTACCGTTTGATCGAAGTCTGATCTAAGATTGAGCTAAATTCTTTGGGTGCTTTCATAAATCTAATCTGATGCTCAACGCTAAAATGAAAGCGCTATTGTTCTACAAAACACAGTGTTCTAGTTCTACATGAATTAGCGAACTGTTAAGTTTAGTTTAGTTAAGTTTATTAGGGTCCCCATTAGCTATTCTTCCTGATGTCCACAACAACTTTACATTTGTGACAGTGCACAAAAAGAGCTCACCTATAATAGTGAACAAAATAACAGGACTAGACTAAAATGTTGACACAGACAAACAAAACAGCTCCTAGCAATACTATAAACTAGTCCATATCCATTGAGTGCACAGTTGCCCACATACAGTTTCACATGGTGTGTGTTTGGGATACAGGTAATAGGAAATTGCAGATTAAATAGTCAACTAAACCCATTAAGAACAGCAATGTATTCAGACAGAGTTTTTGTGAATTTGATGGTACGATTGCTTTATCTTACTATATAATGACTGTCTACCAAGTTTAGTAAAAATCGATATGCCGGTTAGGCCTAGATAAGAAATTAGCTCTCTAGCGCCCCCATTTTGTTTGATGGGGTCAATAATGGAGGGGTCCCCTCAGATTATGTGTGGTCATATGCCTACAAAGTTGCGTGGTGATCGGTGAAACCCTTGAGATGTTATACACCTTTATGTGATGAGCCACGCCCTCCGCAATATTCATTGCCTTATAGAAGCTCAGTTTTAGTAAGTTTTCCAACTTTTGCCAAGAGGGAACTTTAGATATTGGTCCCTAGATTATTTTCACCGAGTTTCATGCAGATCGGTCAAACTTCCTAGTAAGATATCGATTTTAAGTGTTTTTCAAAAAATTCAAAATGGCGGAAAAATCTATATAACCGGAAGTTATGAGTTAAATTTGTTCCTCATGAGGAGCGGCATCTCTGTGCAAAGTGTCATGTCTCGGTGGCATGAGATATGCCCATTCAAAGTTTGCAATTTCAATCAGTTGCTATAGCGCCCCCTTTGGCCAATTGATGTAATATTGCTTCATTCACATCCTCCCATGACCCTCTACCACTGTGCCAAATTTCACATGGATTGACCAAGTCAGTGAGGAGAAAAACGTGGAACAGACACACACACACAGACACACACCCACAGACATACCCACAGACAGACTTTTCATCATTATATAGTAAGATAAGTTAAAGGCTACTTTTTCATGATTACATTCAATAAGTTGCCGCCAGTTTGGGGCTACATTTTGCTCTGATTACCTGATGATGCTCCATTATTGTAATATTAGACCAAGTGTTTACATAATACTATACATTCACATCTGTATGCTTCCCTACACACATTACATGTGCATTTAAAGGAATAGTTACCTGGAAAAATAGTATTTTTACCATGCATGACGTTCATTACAATGTATGAATCATATTATATAGTTCACCTTTGCTGGTATTCTCCTTTGGAAAACATGAAAATATGATTAGCACACTAAAAGAAAAGTAAAGAATGCTAATTAAATCAGTCAAACTTACCTTTGGTGTTAATTAATTAGGCTTTGACACTTACGCTTTGTCTGTGTATGGATATGGATAATCTAAGTTCTTGTCAGTTAATCACACATTCACTCTGCTTGGCGCTCTGCTGCTCCACCTCCTCAGACACAGGGCCCACAGTGCGCTCTCCTGCGAGAGTTCGGTCTTCTGAAAAATTGAACAGTACCTTTCAACAGCGCTCTGTATTTACGAACAGTCTAGTGTGCGCCTGAATACACTCTGTCACTCAGAGTGAGTATTTCTAAACACACCCTTTGTGTCCGTGGTGGCGGGCATACAAAAATATAGAAGGACAATCTGTAGTTCGAGCAACAGCCTGTTTACCAGTGTTCATTTTTACACATACTGCCCACACTGTTATGATACAAAGCATCCCTTTACAATGATTGGATATTTTTATGTAATTATCTAGGAAGTAACTGTAGTTGTCAGATAAATGTAGTGAAGTAAAAATAATATTATTTCTCTCTGAAATGTAGTGAATTTGAAATATAAGGTGGCATAAAATGGAAATAAAGTGCAAGTACCTTAGAACTGTAGTTGAGTTGCACATACACACTCAAACTTTGGCACATATACTATTCATGGTGTATGTTTCTCCTTCAGTTTTGGAGCCTCCGGTGCTGCTTGATAATCTGACCGACTATACCGTCAACGTCAGCAGCTCAGTGATCCTTAGCTGTCCCTCTCAGGGTGTCCCACCCCCGACCATCACATGGTACAAGGATGAACGTGCTCTGTCTCAAGGATCAGGTAAAAAATAATACCATAAACATGCAAACTGTAGCTGTACTCTGGTGTCTAAGAGTTTGTGCCACCATCTCCAGGTATTGTGATATCACCAGAGGATGGCACCCTCCATATTGATCGAATCACAGTGGAGGACCAGGGCCTGTATACATGCCAGGCCACCAATGAGAGGGGGTCTGCAGAGAGCTCTGCCTATATATGGGTCAACGGTGAGTATATGTCAACCAGCTGGATTTTTTTTTTTGCCTTTGATTGGCTGTGTTTACGTCTTCTCAGCGATATGACCCTTCCATATATGGGTATGTCTGAATGTCCATTGTTCCCAGTCCTGTAAATAGATGTGTAGTCTGGACATATAGTACGCTATACCACTTTGTTTGTATGGCGTGGTGTGTCACTTCTATTAATGGGAGGTGATATGACTGTTTATCAATCCCTGAGTAAACACTGATCAAAGAACGTCTTAACATAATCTCAACGTGGGACACACTCAGCCTTTTGTTCAGTTCCCCTCAGTCACACACACATACACATACAAATACACATACACACTCATACCTCCGGTGGTAGAATAGGCAGGCCCCCGTGTGGTTCTGCTTCCACCCAGTTTGAGCATCATTCCCTGGCAGAAGTGGTGGACGCGCTTCCCGGTCAGGGTGTGCAGAGAGGAGTGGCTGTGTGTGTATTGTTGTGTTCTGATCAGTCAGGAAGGAAGCTGTCTCCCGTTTTTATTTCCTCCAGAAGGGCCCAGCCTGCATCTCACAGACGCTCTGCACTGCACTGAGCTGAACGTTTCTACTTCTTCACATCAAAAATAGGGAAAAAAAATAAGTTGGGATTTAATGAGGGAGTTGGATAGTGTTTCTGGATCATGGCGTGACAGTGAAAACACAGTGCCCCCATTTGGAAGGGTGGGGAAAAACTAAAACATCAAGCACGTCTGATAGTAGTAGCAGAAGTATCTGATTTATCTGCGGTTTTTTTAGCCTCATAAAGCTCACAATATTCAAAGTTCTGTGCACTCCAGGCATGTTTGTACATTAAACATAAATGTGTAGTGAAAAATGAATGTAAATTAAGCACTGGTGTGTATTTGTGGCTTGTGTGTGTCCAGGTGCCTCAGAAGCCTCATTCCTGGAGATTCCCACGCTCACCTGTACCTGTGTGGTGGCCACTCTCTTCTGGCTTTTGCTCACACTCTTCATACGCAAACTGAAACAGGTGAGAGGAGACAAGATGAAGATGCTTTCTGGAACAAAGAAACAAATATATGGAACATATTCAGGGCTTTCCATGTACGTTTGTTAGCATTTTATCTTTTTTTTAACTGAACGGAGACTTTTGTTTGCACCACATAATTTCACGATCCTGATTATATGACTGGTGGGATGTATATGATCTTCATTCAGCACTAGCATCTTATTTCTCCTTTCTTAAATCTTAAATCCTCATCAGTACAAAATACAAATTTTCTTTTTCTAAGGTACTTTCAAACGTGGGGAAAATTTGTCTAATTTTGAGAAAATACGTTGCCCTAACTCCCTTGAAAGTATCAAATACTTTGATCTGCATTGTAATGGGGATTGTCTCATACCTCCATCACACTCTACAGAGGCACCTAAGCAGAATTTGGAGATTACTCTGGACAAAGAGATAGACTGGAGGACAGTCTTGAAAGTGTGTGTAAATGTTCTGTAAACTCTAGACACAATCTGGTGCAATTCAAAAACATCAGCTATATTAATGCAAAGATCTTTTGGATTGGAATCCAACTGGATTGGATTAGATTGGAAGAACCTTTAGGGCTGTAGATTGTGGTGGTTTTTGAGGGTGTGACAGTATATCCTCTGTCACTGCGTATATGTATTTTTATTTTACTAGTGATATTATAGTCGCACAATTTGTTTGTTTTTCCTCTGTATTTGTGAAGACAATGAACACTATAAAAAAAAAAACTTGAAATGTTTTGATGCCGAAAATATAAAAAAAAGCTACACATTTGTGTTAGTTTAATACCAGTCTGGGTTTTAACGTTTTAAACGTGTCTTTCTCCAAAGCCCAACAGCTCAAACACCAAACCAGAGTACCTGTCAATCATTCTGGACAGAGGAGACGGGCCAATAGAGGAGCAGTGTGAGAGACTCCAGTACGACCCCAACCAATGGGAGTTCCCCCGGGAGCGGCTCAAATTAGGTGCTCTTCTTTATTTTACAACAATAAGAAATGCAGAAATTAATGTTGTTTTTGACAGTATGTTTATTAGTTTTCTTTTTTTTAAATTTTAGTAGATTGGTACATCAAGAAATAAACAGGAAAGAGAGAAAAAAGTACAAAAGACTTAACAATAGAAGCAAACAAACCCAAAACACATTTAACAGCAGCTCAGATTCATAGAGGTTACGATGATAATGTGCAACAAGTACATGAAAAAAAAAATCACTGCAGCATGATGAGAAAGTGAGCAAAATTAATTTCTGTCATGCCCTGAAGGCACACGGGCAAAAAGAAGAGCTGAAATGATGGTTACAGTTGGATGCCTAATCTTAAACTGTGTTGCTCTGATACAATTGCAGGCCAAAATTGATGTAGCGTGTCTCTAAATGTCTTTCTAAAAAGTATGTTCTCAGCATCAGGGACTTTGACTGGTGATATGAAACTTTTTGGTAATGTCATGCTATATGGGAGAGAGGGAAGGTATTTAAGATCACATCACAGATAGGAGGACTTTCTCACAGCTCTTATCAGATTAATTTTGGGAGTGACTCCCATTCCATTAATCAGACTCTGTCTGTGTTGTCTGTGCTGAGCTAATCAGCTCCAGCAGGGGGTGTGTGTCAACTGTGTTGACTGGAACTAATCAGCTCACCAAGGGTGGGATTCAGCTAGATGGACTCTAATGTCTTCTCTTATCAGCATCTCACATCCAGGACGGATGATAATAGTAATTAATAAAGTAGCTCAGTTAGACACAAAAACACACCTCCCTTTCCTCCTGTCAGCCTCACTCACAATCTTTCTGTCTCTGTCAGGGAAACCTCTGGGCCGTGGAGCCTTCGGTAAGGTGATGCAGGCGGCTGCGTTTGGTATAGACAACTCCACCGGCTGCAGCACTGTGGCTGTGAAGATGCTCAAAGGTACAACATCTGGTCCCTGGTGTCATGAGGAAATAAAAATACAGTTCTGTGTGAAAACATGTATGCCACTATTTTCTACCTTTTGTCCACCAGAGGGAGCCACAGCCAGCGAACACAAAGCTCTGATGACTGAGCTGAAGATCCTCAACCACATTGGACATCACTTAAATGTTGTCAACCTGCTAGGAGCCTGCACCAAGCCGGGAGGTGTGTGTGTTTCCATGCATGTGTGCTCTAAATACGCCTATAGAAATATGCACAAGTTCACATTCATATACATATATATTTAGTTGTAGGGGAGACGTGGGTAAAGTGTAACATCTCAAATTGCTCCAATTAAAAATGGTTTAGAGGCATAACACTCAGTATTCACATGGTTTGTAATGATCCCTCTACGTCTGCAAATGGACAACTGTTGACTAATTCTTGTCTCATTTCTAAAGCTTAGAAGTATTTTTTCATCTACAGTTTTTTTCCCCACACTGTTTCTTGTGTTAGCAAGCTTATGTCATTGGTGGTCATATCTACTACATAGCAGGAAATGACTGCTGATGGGTAACTGTTTTATGAAAACTCATCAGTTCCAACTGCGTAGTTCCTACTTAGTGCATGTCTTCAAACTGTACAATAGTTCTGCCATTGAAAAAAAAATGCAACTTAATCTTGCATGATTAATCACTACTGTGTGACAGACCACATGTAGTATATTTTCAAGGATGAGCTGCGGGCATTTGGTCCAGGGCCATTCGCACTTTCAACATGCCCGAGATAAGATGATTGTTTAATGTTTTGTGTTCAGTTTAAATCTCCATGTATGATATATTTAGTATATATTTTGTGCCATTGTGCAGTGGTTAAGTCACTGCAGTCTGGTCCTTTGTATTCATATAAAGGTGTTACATGTGTCATTGCAATCACCCCTGCACATGGGGGCAGATGTGACATTTGACTTCTAGTGTTTCAAACAATATTATGACTCTTACATTGTTTGTAAAACATTTGTTGACTGTGAACAAAGAGAACGCAAATATAAGTTACCTATATTAAAACTGTATTCAAATAGAACAAGAAGTTTTTTTAATAATGACATCAAAACCAAAATTTGTTACAACTGTCCCCTGTCTCCCCTACTATGAGCTTGTCAATGCCTGTATGAGGGCCCTTGCACTTGTCTTAACTGTAATATGTGTGTGCTTTCTGTGCGTGCAGGACCACTGATGGTAATTGTCGAGTACTGTCGTCATGGAAACCTCTCTACCTTCCTAAAGGGTAAACGAGAGGTGTTTGTGCACGACACGGTGAGTCTACAAACACATTATTAAAGATGGTGTCACCATAGCTGTTTTTCACACAAAACAGGACCTCCATGGCGTGTAGACTGAGTTCCCACATGCCCCACACTTCTCCTTGCAGTTGAGAAAAAAGAAAAAGGCCCCAGAGTGCTTCACACAGTTACAAAATCATACACTCAAAAACTCACTTCTGCAATCTGTTTGAGGTTCGAAGATGCTATCAGTTCTCGAGCAGGATGTCTACTTCCTTAATTTTGTTACAGGTTTAGATGTTACTACAAGCTGTGGCCCCAAAGGTCATTTTCACAGAGCAAAACATGTTTTTGAAATTCTTGCAACAAATTGACCAAAACCGCTTAACAAATGTTGGAAGACACATAATTCTAATTGTATAATTGCTCTTACTCTCTGTCATACAATATTTGTAACTGATTTCCCCTTATCTCAGCTGGCTGGAGGAAAGGATGGAGGGCTAGGATGTGTCAGCAACATGTCTGAGTTTGATGAGAGGCACAAGGAAGAGAGTGACCCAGGTAAGACAGGACAATAGTGAACAAAGTTTTCTCATGTTTGTGCATAATCAAACTGCTTGATTACATCGCTGTGCCCCCTCTCTGTCGTCCTCTAGAGGCCAAATCTGCCTCCAACTCTCCTTTATTCCTGGAGGATCTTATCTCCTTCAGCTTCCAGGTGGCACGAGGGATGGAGTTTCTGGCCTCACGCAAGGTCTGATACATGATATGTGTGTAAGTGTGTGTGTATATACAGGTACACGTGTGTGTTTCATATATGTCATTATTTGTGTTCTCTGTGTTCTGCATTAGTGTATTCACCGAGACCTGGCAGCCAGGAACATTTTGCTTTCTGACAATAAAGTGGTGAAGATCTGTGACTTTGGCCTGGCCAGAGACATCTACAAAGACCCCGACTATGTTCGCAAGGGAGATGTGAGTGCACAGGGCAATGTGATTCCAAAATCCTGTGTCTGAGAGTATTACATTTGCATTGTTATGACAAATAAAGATGACATCTTAGGAAAGCTCACCACTGAAAGCAATATTTGGGGAGACAAGCATTCAACCGGTTTATTTTTTATAGTATTTTACATTTTAGAATTCATGAGATCACTAATTATTTGAATATTTTTTTATAGTCATTAGTGGTGCAGTGGTTAGCATTGTTGCCTCACAGCATGAGGGTTCCTGGTCAAGCCCGGGGTAGGGGAGCCCTTCTGGAAGGAGCCTGCATGTTCTCCCCATGTCAGTGTGGGTTTTCTCTGGGTACTCCGGCTTCCTCCGACAGTCCAAAGACATGCAGGTTAATTGGTGACTCTAAATTGCCCGTAGGTGTGAATGTGAGTGTGAATGGCTGTGTGTCAGCCCTGTGATAGTCTGGCAAACTTTCCAGGGTGTACCCCGCCTCTCGCCCAATGTTGGCTGAGATGTGTTGTTTTTATCTTTTATGGTGGCAGCCTCTTCTGTAACCAACTGTGTTAAATGGGCCGATAATATTGTCTCATATTGATCACAGGCCCTTGAATCGTATCAAATAATCGCATAGACATTGAAATATCAGCAAATATTGTATAGTTTTCCAAAGAATATTGAATCATGATGAAACTGGTGATTTATGCCCCTAGTAAATATCATTTAAGAAAAGTGGCTGCAAAAGCTGTTTTAAATGTACTCATTGCAGCAGCTACACAATGCAGAAATAGAATTTTTAAAAAAAATCACACCCTTTCTAGAGATGTTTTTCTAATGACTCATTCATTCATTATAATGACTTTAGTTGTTCGTTTATCTCAGATATGTTAGGATATTACATACCTTGAAATGTTTTCAACTTCCGCCTTCCTCAGTGTCACTTGGTGGTGGTTGTGAGGTTTCCGCCGAAACATGTCAAGGTATGTAATATCCTAACATGTCTGAGATAAAAGAACAACTAAAGTCATTATCATAAACTAAAGACATAATGAACACCATTGAACTCGTTCATTCATTCATTTTCCGTAACCACTTATTTGCAGTAAAGTTTACTTTAGACTGATTCCACAAACATACATAAAACAACAAAACAACACATGGGATAAGAAGAAAACTGTGTTTTTCTCGTATGCCTTCACAGTGAACCAAGAATCCAAAAGTGGAAAAACAATTCTTGATGAATTAGAGTTAAAGGGGTCCACATTTAACAACAGCAAAACTATATTAAAACATCCGGCAAGTGTGTGCGTTTGAACTCTGCTCAATGAAATGCACAAGCACAGTTCAAACACATATATGACTGGATAAATGATACTTGGATTATACTGCATGAGTCATGTTTTTATATAGTTTTGCTATTGTTAAATGCGGCCCCCTTTTACTTAAATTTATCAAAAATATTCACTGTTTTTTCACAGATTCTTCGTTCACTATGGAGAAATTTTTTTTTGTGCAAATTTACAGGGCACGTAGTTGATATACAAGTGATCATTTTGTGGGTAAAGCATTCCTTTAAGCAACAAACACTGGATTTTTTTTGTAACTGTGCTCCTGTGATCTGATTGGTTGACAGGCCCGCCTCCCTCTGAAGTGGATGTCTCCAGAGTCCATCTTTGACAAGGTTTTCACCACGCAGAGTGATGTGTGGTCCTACGGCATTCTGCTGTGGGAGATCTTCTCTTTGGGTAAGAGTCCTCTCACCACAGTTTTGCACAGGTAGTGGACAAAATAACAGAAACACAACCCAGAAGCCCAGCAACAAATATCTGATACCTCATGATCTCACACTTTTAAGACTGTTGACATTAATGCTTTACATGTGTTTGTCCAACAGGTGCTTCCCCGTACCCTGGTCTTCACATAGATGAAGAGTTCTGCCACAGACTGAAGGTTGGAACAAGGATGAGAGCGCCTGAATACAGCACACCTGAGATGTGGGTGGATACGTTTTCAACCTTCCTACTAAGAGTGTCATTCAAACCTTTATGTCATGTCTCCTGATGTGACCCAGGCAGTGATACTGGAAAATTAACGCCGGTATGTTTGTGTGTGCAGTTACAGCACGATGCTGGCATGCTGGGAGGCCAGTCCCTCAGATCGACCAACCTTCACTGACCTGGTGGAGACCCTGGGAGACCTGCTGCAAGCCAGGGTTCAGCAGGTCAGGCTTCCTGTGAATCTTACTCCATCAGGCTTATGCTTTATTTCATGTCAGATAAGTTTTTTTCTCAACATATGGATAAACTGCATACAAAGACACAAAATATCTACAGATACCCAGAATTGTTCCCTCTCTTTAACAGGAAGGGAAGGATTATATTCCTCTGGGATCTTTCATAACCAGAGACACTGGTCGCAGTGAGACTTTCAAAGAAAGCCCACTCGCAGTCACAAACCTAAGGTAAGGCAACATGAGACAGAGGATCAGTTCAGGACTAGATCTCACAATTCCTGATGCACCTACTTGAGACTATGAGTGGGAGTAATAGTGCCATCTGGGGGACGAGTAGGAGCCGAAGGGTTAGACGGATAGAAAAGTAGGAAAGAGCAAAGGTAGATAGAAAAGTAAGGAGGAGCATAGGGAAGACAGAGCCAAGGAGAGACTGGGCCGTACACTCTACCTCACCTGACTCCCTCATTTTGATGAGGGAAGAGACTAACAGGAGAAAAACGTACCTAGCTTTAATCTAGGTGGAGTTTAACCGGTCGATTGTTGTTGCACAAACTTTAGATTGTGGGTTAGAGTTGGAGCCATGCTGAGGGAAGGGGATGGGGGTTTGGGAGGGTAAAAGCTTCACTTGGGTCATCAGGTGGGTACTCTCCTTCACTAGTGTTTCGATAGTAGGCCCACAACACCTCCAGAGGGCTCATCAGCAACACTTGGTGTCCCAGGTGTGCCCCCCCCTCTGCCTTTACTCCCTTGTATCCTGCTGTTGTGAGTGGCATTTTGGGGCCCAAGTGGCATCTGCCTGATGTTGGGCTTGGCCTGGAATTCCAGTTTCTTTAAGCAGCTGACTTGCCTACCAAGCCTCTGCAGCCCACTTCAACCATGCAAACCTTCTCTTTTGAGCCACGTTGCTCAGTGTCGGCTACCAGCTCGGCATACTTTAGGCTCTTGCGCTTGTAGGCTTCCTCCACATCATCCTTTCAGGGCACAGTGAGCTCAATGATCTAAATGAGGCGCAGTGAGGAGGACCAAAGCATGAGGTCTGGTCTGAGGTTAGTAGAGGCAATCTCAGATGAGAAGCATAGACACTAATTCAGATCTACCAGTACCCTCCAGCTTTGTGCCCCTCCCAGTTTGTTGGTGTCTGATTTTACTGTACAGGCCTTGGATTGCTTGGCACCTTCTTGGACAAACCATCTTGTAATTGCTGGATGGAATGATAGAGGGGGTAGGGCATTGATGGATGTCCATCTGGTCTCTAGGATAGCTGCTAGACACTTAGCACCCGATTGTGCCGCCAGGTATAACAACCTTTTGTCAGGCTTGTCTGGCAGCCAACCAGAATATGTTTCAGGTTTGCTGGAGATGGGCACAAAGGGCACGTAAAAGATAGAAAATAAAAACATTATGCAACGGAATATACAGCAGGTAGATGTGAGCCAGCTCACCTTGACCTAAGATGTATTGTAGAGGAGTGCTGTAATAGCATAATAAAAATGTAGCGAAATGAGCAAAACAGGTGCAGATGTGAAAGTGACAGGAGCAGTGAGAGGTAACTGAAACTTGATTCAGAAATAACAGGAAACAGGTTGAGAAATTTCTAACCCATGTTTTGATTCTGAATCCAATCAATCCAGTTACATGAGGGGAATGGCCACACTTCAGACGTTTGAGGAACTCTCCTGCGAGGAGCCAGACAGCCCTGATGTAAGAAAACACCTTCACTTCTGCTTGGTTGCATGCACGCACATAGGCACACACATACACACACACACACACACACACACACACACACACACACACACACACACACACAGGGGATGTGACAAAATTGCATCCTCACTTTGTCAGAGCTGAATAATTTCAATGGAAACAGATAAGAAAAAAGGTATTGGTAAAAACAGGAAAAACCCAGTCACTCTCTGATAAGCTGCATGTTTGCATCATCTCTGCTGTAGGATGAGCAGAGTGACAGTGGCATGGTCCTACCATCTGAGGAGCTGAAGGATCTCACGTGGAACAACAACACCATGAACAAGAAACTCAGCAGGTGGTGACCTTTAATCTCTGACCACTAAACCCCTTGACTTGCCTACCACCAGCCCAGACATCTCATCATCTGTAAATCATCGCACAGCAGGACACACAGTAATGTCGCACATATTGTGCAGTATCTTCGATGACATACAATGATGTTTTTAAATGAAATTTTAATTCATTTTAATTTTTGATGACATTTTTTGTGTCATACTATACTATATATATTTTATGACATATTATACTATAATGTTTTTCCATGATTTTTATGACAATTATATGAAATATTTTATGGTAATATATATAATGATTTTTTTTCTATGATTTTGTTTGGCACACAATAGTATGACGTATTTCTATGACTTAACAAACTATCACTTTTTGGAAATTTTTGTATGGCATACTATATCATCAGGATTTGAATTTGAAATAATTCATATTGTACTTATGACATTTGTTGTCAAAGTATAATATTTTTATGACATTTCATGACATAACATACTTAGACTTTTTTAAAACTATCTTGGCATACTATATTATGATATACTGTGACATTTCATGACTTTTTTGGGTATATTGTACAATGACATTGTTCATGTCAGACTATATGACATACTATACTATGCAGGGTTTTTTGGCATACTAGGCATATACTGTTAGATTTTTCATGATATACTGAACTACAACATTTTGTATGACTTTTTCACATACCATACTATATACATGACATACTATATTATGACATATAATATACTAAACATGACCATACAAACAAACATACTATCACATTTTTGTTATATTTTGGACGACATACTATACTATGAGGTTTTTATCAATTTTTTTGTGACATTTTTGATGACAAACCATACTATGACATTTTTGCAGAATTTTTGAAGACATGCTGTACTATGATGTTTTTGTCACATTTTGGATGACAAGCTATACTATGACGTTTTTTCATGATTTTTGAAAACATACTACAGTATGACGTTTTTTTCATGTTTTGGACGACATACTATACTCTGACTTTTTTTTATCACATTTTGACAACATACTACACTATGATGTTTTTGTGACATTTTGGATAACATGCTATACTATGACATTTTTTGACATTTTTCATAGCATACTTTTTTGGTATACTATACTATGACGTTTTTTCATGTTTTGGACGACATGCTATACTATGACTTTTTTATCACATTTTGGAAGACATACTATACTATGACTTTTTTATCACATTTTGGAAGACATACTATACTATGACTTTTTTTTATCACATTTTGGACGACATACTGTACTGTGATGTTTTTGTGAAATTTTGCACAACATATGAGGTTTTTATCAATTTTTTTGTGATATTTTTGATGACAAACCATACTACGACATTTTTGCGACATTTTCGAAGACATGCTGTACTATGACGTTTTTGTGACATTTTTGATGACATACTATACTATGACATTTTTTGTCACATTTTGACGACATGCTATACTATGATGTTTTTTCATGATTTTTGAAAACATATTATACTATGATGTTTTTTTCATGTTTTGGATGACATACTATACTATGATGTTTTTGTGACATTTTGGACAACATGCTATACTATGACATTTTTTGAAATTTTTCATAGCATACTTTTTTGGCATACTATACTATGATGTTTTTTCATGTTTTGGACGACATACTATACTATGATTTTTTTATCACATTTTTGACTACATGCCATACTATGACTTTTTTTTTTTTATCACATTTTGGACGGCATCCTTTACAATGACTTTTTTAATCAAATTGTGGATGACAAACTATACCATGATGGTTTTGTGACATTTTGGACGACATACTATACTATGAGGTTTTTATCACATTTTGGACGACATACTGTACTGTGATGTTTTTGTGAAATTTTGCATGACATATGAGGTTTTTATCAAATTTTTTATGACATTTTTGATGACATACTATACTATGACATTTCTTGTGACATTTTGACAACATACTATACTATGATGTTTTTGTCACATTTTGGACGACATGCTGCATTTTATGACGTTTTTTCATAATTTTTGAAAACATGTTATAGTATGACTTTTTTTTATCACATTTTGGACGACATACTACACTACGATGTTTTTGTAACATTTTGGATAACATGCTATACTATGACATTTTTTGAAATTTTTCATAGCATACTTTTTTGGCATAGTATACTATGATGTTTTTTCATGATTTTTGAAAACATACTATACTATGACATTTTTTTCATGTTTTGGACGACATATTATACGACATATTATATGACTTTTTTATCACATTTTGGAAGACATGCTATAATATGACTTTTTTATAACATTTTGGATGACACACTATACTATGATGTTTTTGTGACATTTTGGACGACATACTATACTATGACTTTTTTTAATCAAATTTTGGATGACAAACTATACCATGACTGTTTTGTGACATTTTGGACGACGTACTATACTCTGACTATTTTATTACATTTTGGATGAGATATTATATTATGATGTTTTTGTGACATTTTTGACGACATACTATACTATGATTTGTTCTTACATTTTTCATGACATGCTATATTAAGACATTTTTGTGACATTTTTCATGACATACTATACTCTGACTTTTTTATCTCATTTTGGACGACATACTATACTATGACTATTTTGTAATCACATTTTGGACGACACACTACACTATGATGTTTTTATCACATTTTGGACAACATATGACACTATGATGTTTTTGTGACATTTTGGACAACATGCTATACTATGACATTTTTTGACATTTTTCATAGCATACTTTTTGACATACTATACTATGACCTTTTTTTCATGTTTTGGAAGACATACTATACTATGACTTTTTATCACATTTCTGACGACATGCTATGACTTTTTTTTAACATTTTGGACGACATCCTTTACTATGACTTTTTTTTTAATCAAATTTTGGATGACATACTACACTATGATGTTTTTGTGACATTTTGGATGACACGCTATACTATGACATTTTTTGACATTTTTCATAGCATACTTTTTGGCATACTATACTATGATGTTTTTGTCACATTTTCAACGACATACTATACTATGACTTTTTTTCATGTTTTGGACAACATACTATACTATACTATGACTTTTTTATCACGTTTTTGATGACATACTATACTCTGTTTTTATCACATTTTGGAAGACATACTATACTATGACTTTTTGTAATCAAATTTTGGATGACAAACTATACATGATGGTTTTGTGACATTTTGGACGACATACTATACTCTGACTTTTTTATCACATTTTGGACGACATGCTGTACTATGACATTTTTGTGTCATTTTGGAGGACATACTATACTATGAAATTTTTTGACATTTTTCATGGCATACTTTTTGGTATACTATACTATGATGTTTTTGTCACATTTTGGACGACATACTATACTCTGATGTTTTTTCATGATTTTTGAAAACATACTATACTATGACATTTTTTTTCATGTTTTGGACGACATACTATACTATGACGTTTTTTCATGATTTTTGAAAACATACTATGACATTTTTTTTCATGTTTTGGACGACATACTATACTCTGATGTTTTTATCACATTTTGGACGACATCCTTTACTATAACTTTTTGTAATCAAATTTTGGATGACAAACTATACCATGACGGTTTTGTGACATTTTGGACGACATACTGTACTCTGACTTTTTTATCACATTTTGGATGAGATATTATATTATGATGTTTTTGTGACTTTTTAAAGACATACTATACTATGATTTGATCTTACATTTTTGATGACATGCTATACTAAGACATTTTTGTGACATTTTTTATGACATACTATACTGACTTTTTTTTTTATCACATTTTGGACGACATCCTTTACTGTGACTTTTTTAATCAAATTTTGGATGACAAACTATACCATGACGGTTTTGTGACATTTTTGAGGACATACTATACTATGACTTTTTTTTTTTTTATCACATTTTGGACGACATACTGTACTATGATGTTTGACATATTTGACGACATGCTATACTATGATGTTTTTGCGACATTTTGGACGACATACTATACTATGCAATTGACATATTTGACGACACACTATACTATGATGTTTTTGTGACATTTTTGACGACATGTTATACTATGACATTTTTTGAAATTTTTCATAGCATACTTTATTGGCATAGTATACTATGATGTTTTTTCATGATTTTTGAAAACATACTATACTATGATGTTTTTTTCATGTTTTGGACGACATATTAGACTTTTTATACCTTTTTTGAATATTATACTATGACAATATTGATGACATACTGTGCTACGATTTTTTTATGACTTTTATGAGTCATCATAAAACATTCATACATTTTTATGGCACATTATACTATCACTATTTTAAAAATGAAATTAACTAAACCTTACTATGAAGGTTTTTTTCCATTACTGGTTTACTGATATTACAGTTATTTGTGCATTACTAATTTTAAATGAAATTAACTTTTAATTTGTATGTTTTCAGGTTCTTTGCCTTCACTAAGAGCCGGGACAACCAGGTGCCTTTCCTGTGCAGTGACATCACAGGTCTCTGTGACCACAAGCCTTCTATCGTACCATGTGACTGGGAGTCTGATGAGGACAGCTCCCCTCCTCCGGACTACAACTCTGCTTTTCTCTACCCCTCCCTCTAGCATCTGTTCTTAGACATATTCACACAGGGTATATACAGTATTTTTCTGCTCATAATTTTAAGTCAACTAGAACTTGTTCTGCTCTATCAACTGTGCATCCTCTACCTCATTATAATATCTACGTATACTCTTCCTTTTCCTCCTTCAACCAAACTTAGAGATAAGTTCTTTATGTGTAACTCAAAACATCCCTTTGCTTCTCTTCAGTTCCCCAAACCATATGCTGGTGTACAACAAAGCCTCTAATGTATCACAGTAATATCTTGCATTATCACACATAACCCTTCCAAGAGCAGCTACTCTTAGTATTACCAGATAGTACTTATGCACTTATGCAGAATGTATTTGCTGATACAACTATTAGAGCGTATTGTATTGGTACCTCGTGCTGAGCTTTGTGAAGAGGAACACTGCTGTATGAAATAATGGTTCCTTCTACACAGCTACCATATGCTGGAAAAAAAAAGTAATTATCCACCGAATTAAGTATGTGTTAAGACAGGAATGTATCAATCTGTATTTATTTTAATGCTGTAATCGTTTCATGGATGGTCTGTATCTCACTGTGAATGTGAATATATGCTCAGTTACCAGTTTACGTTAATGAAAATTAAAATGTTTGGTGTGATTTAAACTGATTTAAAAAGGTGCTGATTTATCCACCTCAAATAGTATCAGTGAAGATGGACAAAATATAAGAAATAAAAAACTGTCAGTAATATAAACTAGTCTGCAAAATCATAAGAGTTAAATTATTTCTCTATAACAGTTTCAACAAAAATATTGTAACCTTTATTATCAAAGGATTGCAGACCTCATAAACTGGCAACTGAGTTTATATTTAATTCTGTATTATGCATCACAAAGAATTGAATCATCCATAAATAAACAGATATACATGTCCTCATGCTGTTTCAAGTAATGTTTTTCTTGACAAGCGATACTGATTACATGAAGATCAATTCAATGAAATATGCTGTTTTAAAATTGGTCCGGTATTGAGCGAGAAGACTGCAGTCAACACCGGCAAAACAGGCAGCAGCATAACCACTTGGCAGATGTTCCCATGGTTAATTTATGCCAATTAAAGGAGCGTGTTTTCCCGTCTGACAACATTATGTAACGTATCCCTACAGAGACAGACCTTTTGATTAAAAAGTAAGATCCTTCTTGACCTGAAAATTGTTGTTCCCATTAGTCACTTGGACACAAACCCTAGTTTTTATGTTTCTATAAACTTGTTTCAGAGATTAAACGCTGTAATGTACCCCACTGCAAAACAAGACAAGATCCTGCACGTCAGTTTTGGTATTCTTTATTAAAATACTGCTGTACACACAAATATTGCAAAATTTGAACAAATGAACACAACAGGGGCATAAAACATACTAAGATGGTGATTGTAGGTGTGTCGATGTGGGGGAGAAGTAGGTCGTCACTAATATTAACTGGAGTGTGTGTCATGATGTGGAAGATAGTGATATGAGCACTGACATTGTGTGGGCTGAGTTGGGGGGGGGGGGGGGGGGGGGGGGGGGGGGGGGGGGGGGGTGTTTGTGTGTGTGTGTGTGTGTCTGTGTGTTTTGAGGGTTTCTAAAGCACCACATTCACCAAATATGTTTTTGTCTGTTCATTTTGCTAAAACAGAGGAAGTAGTACATGATCTAACACTCAGCTCCCTGCAGGTTTGTTGCCCCCAAGTACAGCAGACCGTCAACTTCCGTCAACCAACTTTAAACAAAAAACACACTGTTCTAGATTACGCCTTTGACCTTGATTATCTGACAGTGTGCTTCACGCGGGAGGCCGTTTGTCTCGTCTTATGGTTGTACCCACTTGTCAAAACTACTGAGAACTTGACTAAGGCAGAGAGATTAAGAACAGTGGTTAGACAAGAGTCTGATCTCTTTATCATCAACGGAGTATGAACCGAACTTGAGGGCAACATGAAATCCCTCACAGCATGATCTCAACAGTGCCACCAACTTCCTAAAACCTCGACCTGAAGACGTCCCACCCACTCCACTCACCTATCTGACTGGACAGGGGGCAGCCAATGACAGCCAAACACATTCAATCATTGGGCCCCTCCAGCTGGTCTTCATCCTGAGAGAAATCCAAGCCATCCGAGTGAGAGCAGCAGCCAGTGCCGCTGCTTTGTCTCCAGCACATTTGTATATCATGATCTTTAAAAGTCAAATAAAACATTAACAAAACAAAATATTGGTGCCCTGTTCTCTCCTTCGCCCTCCATCCCTTCCCCTTTCCCTAAACCCCTGCTGGAATTGGTCCACAGAATAATAAAGTTGAATTGAGGCAAAAAGTAATTGCCCTCCCAGTTCCCATCATGCATTCCTGCACAATATCTGAGCCAAGAGAAAAACCAGCTAGAAAAATCACAAAAAGCGTCACTTTTTTTCCTCAAATGTAGAGGGGCCAAGAACCCCCTGAGGGGAAGTGAAGATCGGGATAAAAGCAGGAAGAAGAGGGGAGAGCAAGAGAGAGACAGAGAAAGGGGACTTTGGGGGCAGGAGGACAGGTGGGGGACGAAATAAGGACATTCCACAAAGAGGCAGCTGTGGCTCCACCTCAACAGAAGCCCCACCCACGGGCTACAACCAAGTGCTGGACAGTCAAAGCAAAATGACCCACCCTTGAACAGTTTATGTCACAACAGCGTCCATTAACCAAAGGTGGTTGCTGCATATGTAACAAACACTTGGTAGACAGCATCAGGAGAAGACACCCCTTCCTCAGTGCCAACAAAAACCACGATCTACCCCCATATCCCAAATCCCAGTCCATGTTAGCCCACCCACCCACACATATGAGCCTGATGTTCCACAATCTCCTGAACTAAAATGTCAGAAACCCGTCGATTTTCCAGTTTTAAGGACCCGTCCCACACACCCAAGTGGTTTGTCCTTTCTGAGGGGGAACCAACAACCAAGGCAAAGGTGGGCTGGCCCCCTGCATGAAACAGGGGCCACCCCGCCTCAATGAAAGCCTCGAGTGGTGTGTCCCGTCTCCTAGTGCGTCAGAATGAAGGGGTGTGGACTCCAGCCAGAGGAGAGATGCCATCATTAGAACGCTGGATTTTAATTTTTGTTGTTTTAACTCTTTAAGTCTGCTCTGTTATTCATGTCCGTGTGTGTGACTTTAGCTCTCTGTACACCCTGTAGGCCACTCACACATATTGATAAAAATAACAAAAATTAACAAAAAAATTAAAATCTTGGTGCATCCTCCTCAGAAAAATAAACCCCAACTGTAGAAATAAACAATAAAAGCCGGAAAAAAGTTCAAAACCTCAAGGTTTGTTTCTTGTTTTGTTCCCCAAATCTAAAAAAATGTCACCATACTCGTTTGTCACAGCTTCCGTATTTGTCCTTTGAACGTGTTTTTTTTTTCTCCTTTTGTTTTACGATTTTCAGCTGCAGGGTTTAGGAAAACTAAAAAAAATACACTTTAGAAAAAGCCTTCCTGGTGGACACGGTCAGTGTATGTGACTGAGGTTCACGAAGCCCTGCCCCGCTGCCTTCGCCATGCTGATGTTATTTCCATGAGCCTGGTCCTCCGCTGTAGTGCAATAGTGTGCTCCAGGTACGGGCAAGTCCCACCCCGGGCCCGAAGAGGGCGCTACAGAGAGCCGGAGGCTGCAGCCTGCAGCTCCTGGAAGGTACTGTCGAAGCAGCGCTTCAGGTCCGAGTAGGTCACAACCAGGACGCTTTTCTCATCCCGAGACACCAGGCTGATCTTCTCAGGAACGCCCGCGTCCAGCTGTGTCAACAGGAAGAAAGTTTTAAAAATACTGATATTTTGGAAGCAGATCAAACATTTGGCTGCTGATTGTGAAAAAGAACGTGGAATAAATATTTTTTAGGATTAAAAGTAGAGCTGCAACCACTAGTCAATCATTAAAAAAATCTATATGCATCAACATCACACTGACCTTGCGGAAAAATTGTGATTTTTCAGTATCTTTTTACATTTTTAGACCAAACCATTAATCAACAAACTAATCACCAGATTAATCAGTGATTAATTTGTCAGTCAAAGCCCTAATTTTAAGCAAGTAAGTTGAAGAAGAAGAAGGACCTCATGCTGAACTTCTGTGGACCCAGATAAAAAGATAAGCCTGTATAGATTCATTAGTAAGTGTCGTGTTATATGAAGACTTGTGAAGTACAAAAGGTCACAGCTTTAAACAACTTGTGAAAAAAAAAGTAAAAAAGTGAAAAGAGGAATAACAGAATTGAGAAAACTAAGAATGACTTGTGATAAATTTACTTCTAAGTTACACTACATGTCATTACTCTTTTTGGGGGGATTTTTCGGGGCTGCTTTAGGATATTGGTTATATTTGAGATATGGCTTATTCATAGAGTTCAGTTAAGTACCATCGGGGCTTTCTGTTGGTGTTCATTATTAGATTATTATTATTGTTATATAGTAGTTAAATGGCCTAACAAACTAGTTAAAAATGCTGACAGATTAACATTTCCACTGCTCCCTCCCATACCCAGCTGCTAACCAAATACCAAATGTCACTGATACAAGTAGGCCAATAATAGACCTACTTTTAATCTCTCTGTTCTGCAATCTGTTGGCAAATGCATGCATGTTTTTTTTTAGCCAGGGCATATGAGGCATTAACAGATGTTCTGAAAATAGGCCACTTTGCATGTTTGAGTAATTCATACACATTACATAAGCAGTTCGCTTTCATGACAAAAAGAAGACAAGAAATCTGACTGACTTTATTGAGGCAGGAGACGATGTGGCTGAGGTCGATCCAGGGCGTCCCAGCTTCAGTCACCTGGTGAAATAGGTGATCCCGGAAAAGCTTCAACAGGTAGCGGTCGCCCGTCTCCGACCACGTCGGGTCCTTCTGAAACCTGATTCACACGCAACATGGTCACAGACAAGTGACAGAACCACAAACTACACATACAGGTGGATCTTTACACGAGAGCTACTTACTCTGGCCGCTCGTTGATGGTGCCCAGTTTGGCCAACAGGCGGAAAAGACGGCCGTTTTGCACCTCCTACAAATAAATGATAATTTATATTCAACAAACATTAGAAAATATTTATTTTTTTTAGTCATTTTTGCTGTTACTGAACAATCAGTAGTGAGAAGGTGAGAAGGTCGGCAGGAAACAAGGAGAGAAAGAAGGGTGTGACCTACAATACATGTTCCAGACCAGATTCAGACTGTGGATGTTGCAGTTACGTGGCATGTGCTGTAAAGATTTGCCTAATCAAATGCTGAACTTATGAACTCATCACTTGACACTCGCCACAACTGTTTACACCCCCATATATATATAAACATATATTTATACTTATCATTATGCATATACATTTACTACACTCCTGTTACCATTAAGATTATTCTTTTGTAAATTCAGTGTAATTTATGCTACTTAAATTTATATTTTGGACCATTTTTATGTGTGTGAGTTTCTTTTTCTTTTTTAAACTTTTAAAAGACATCGCTTAGGAGAGCCTGTGAAGATTTTCATTGTCTGTAATTACTGTTAATAAATAGATAAATAAATAAATAAAAAATAATTAATAAATGATAATTATGCAAATAAAAAACTTGCTCCAGCAGTTGTCGAGGAGTTCCACAAAGGGGATACTGGTGTCATTTACTGACATTGAATTACAGACTTAAAACTTAAAAAACAACTTTAAAAGAACATAATTTCCTAAGCACACTAAAATTGGCATAAAATTTAAGACACAATCTTTGAATTTGGCACCAGGTAATGGGAAATATTCTGTAGCTGATGGAAGCAAAATCTGATTTAGATTACAAAACAAAACACATACTCAGGTTGAAGGATAAATATAAATACGTTAATATGCAAAAAAAAAAAAAAAAAAAGCAAATTAATT